CATGTAATTCTCTGCTATAATTAAAGAGAAGAGACAAGCCCAGGGGATCAGACTTCCATGTAATTTTCTTTAAGATGTAATTGTAAAGAATTTGTTTGGAAGAAAGAAACCCACATTTTTTTTTTTAACATCCTGAAAGACTCATGCAAAGCATAACTATTAAAAAGCAAAGGGTGAATGACACGAGAGAGTGAGAGGTGCGAACTGGTTGGAAGATGTTGTTCTAGGAAGTAACAACTGTCCCTGCTTTCTGAACTAATAAGAAGCAGTAAGTAAATGGAGGCAGTTGTGAAGGAGAAAAATTCTCCCAAGGATAAGACAAAATTATGTAAATTTGCCAAGCTAAGCCACTGTCTGTGGGCTCACTGATTTACCAAATAAAAAGCTATTTGCAGGGCTATAATCTCTGACAAACAGTTTCTGTGTCTCTGCTTTCCATGTTTGTGCTCTCTGGTTGTAATTTGGGCTTCCTCTGGGAATGGTCTTGTTCAAGAGAGGAGTTCTCAGTCATGACCTCCTGCTCTCCAGGCTCCAATGACAGCTCTGTATACAACACTGGCTTTCTGTCTTGTGCGGGTTGTCCTAACCTGGTCTCCGTCACACCATTCTAGCTCAGAATTCTCCTTTCTTGTACTTTAGCCCAGAATGTTGTGTTGTGATCTTAGTGCAGGTGGAATGTAAGCATCTCATTTGTCTTCCTCTCTGGGTATAGTTTTACCTTCCACAGTCCTTTCTCCTAGCATCTCACATGTGGCGGTTCACTATGAAATCTTGCCAATTAAAAAAATCCATTATTCTTTATGCAGTGTTGGTTCCTTAATAGTGCTCACTTTTTCAACTTCACCAGATCTAGAAATCATAGCCTGTTTGCAGGACTCTCCAAACCTCAGGAAAGATTCCACCAAAATAAAAAAAATTGGTAGTTTTGAAATCATTGCTTGACTGCCTTAAGAAGAGTTGAGAAATACTTCACTCAACTCTAACATTTCATGCCAAGTTGGATCTAGGATGGATTTAGATTTAATAGATTGGTCTGAATGCCTCAGAGAGCTGAATGTTACAAAATGTTTTAGATGGTAGAAGGTGGAAAAATGGCCGCATTAAAGTCCTGTTTTTTGAGCTGGACCATGAAGCCTGGAGTCAGAACCTTCAAGCCGTCTGCGTATGCAGCTACGTCTATAGAAGACAGAGACACTTGGTGAAGTGAAACCATCATGGGAGAAACCGGCAACCAAAACTGGAACCTTTTCACTGGAGGCAGAAGTGAAAGTAGCAGTGAATGTGCCCATGGCACTGCCACGCCCTCACACTTACTTGGGCTGTACAGTGCACCTAGCTTTTCCTGAGCACACCATCTACCCAGGATTCCACTGATCCTCCTAAACACTTATTTCAACAGTGTCAATAAAGCAGGCTAAATGAATCTCCTTGAAGCTTGATATGAGGCAAATATTTCAATGAAAATCACTGAATTCCAGTGGCATCTGACTATGTCCATGCTGTCTGCCCACTCCTGCCCACCACCATCACCTTAATTTAGTTGCTGATTCTCTGTATTTGGGCAATAAGGAAGGTGTATGTGAGTGAGATCTTTGGCATACTGTCTCCTAAAACAGCCACAGGTTACAGAATGATCATGGTGGTGGCTTTCAAAGGCTGTCAGTGTTTGCACTTCAAACCCTGAGAACATTAGGCCAAATCTACTTTATGCACAATATGTCTTTGGTACATAAAACTATGTACTTGCAATAAAAAATAAAGCTGGGATAGTTGCTAGGTGAATAACTTAAAAAATCATCGTGTTAAATACAGTATATTAAGTGCTGATACCTTTAATTAGAGAGAAATGTGGAGATTTTGCTGTACCTATATGGGGGAGGAGGGATTGGCTGCAAAGTTTTCAGAGTTGGTGGCACTGGTTCCTTAGAGTGGGTGGCCTAGAAACTGCTTCTGAGGAAATCATAAACAAGGTTCCTTAGGAATTTGTCAGAGTTGGAAAGAGGCAGTGAAGAAGGTAACTACTTTCAGTGGTCAGTAGTTAAAAATGAGAATATATACAGGAGGGAGACATTAACTAAAGAGATGTATGTGAACAAGAGAGAAAGAGATTTTGCTGAAATGAATTAATGGAATGGTTGAAGAAGAGGAAGACATGGTTGAGGACTTTGCAAATCCCCCAGAGGAAGTGTTTGAAAGATGGGGTGGTAGTTTCAACCTCGGCAGGTCCACAGTTGGAGTACTTTGGTGGCTAGTCCAGTGGGAACTGGGACGTGCTCAGAAGGAATTCACAGAACAGGGATTGCTCACAGAGGCAGACATTTTCAAAGGCACTTACCACTTATCACTCAACTTATAAAGAAACTGAAGAGCCAAATAGTAAGAAATTTTACCTTCGTCCACCCAGATTTAATACTGGGACTTAGTTCTTGACTATACAATATATTTCTGCTTCCCTGTTCCTTTTACTAAATCTACAAACCTTCTCTGTACTTCTTTAAGAACCAAGTTTAAAAAATAACTTTATGTAGTTAAAAATCAAACCATTTATGCCCTAATTTTAAAAAAGCAGAAATTAGCTTTGATGTAAGAAACTAAAATTGATATTAAATTTTAAAATTTCCCAGACCAATTTTTTGAAGATAACAAAATATAATAAATAAACTGTTCCTTACTATTTTCCAACTACTTTTAAAGACAGAGAACAGATTTTAGCATTGAGTTATCTAGGAAGAAATAAATTGCCAAGTAAATTAATAGTGACTTCACCAATAAGTTATTTAATATCTTAAGAGAAAAATAATCAAGTACTCAATTGTTTATAGTTACTATATAAAATATACTGGTTTTTAATTTTAAAAATATAATTATTGATAAGAGCTCGTTTGGACTTTCTGGGTCATGCCTATTGAGAATATAGGTCAAAGCACTGAAAACCTGAAAGTAATAACATTTCAAGTGTCCCATGAATTCAGAATTTCAAGAATTCAATAATTGTAATAATTAGTTATTTTAGGGACTACTACTTTATATTGTAGTCAAATCCTTTTATATTCACTTTCCATAGATTGAAAAATTTATAAAATAAACATAATTAAGTTGCTATTTTTAAAAAAATTACTAACCTTGGACAGATTTTAAGTCAAAGTCTATATGTTAAATACTAACTGGGTAGCAGGAAATACAGGTGTTTAGTATATACTACCACTCAGTTTGCATGAATCTGTCAAAAAAAGTTATCTATTTGTACTACTCCAGTCACTGTAAATGATTGTTAATTGCAAGGAAGAAAAAATAACTCACAACCAACATGGTGCACATTAAACAAGTTACATAATATATACAAACATATATAAATAGTGTCAGACATAAACTAAACATTACACTCAAAGAGAGTTAGAAACCTTCTGCATGAGCTCTAAGAATCCATGACTAAAACAGAGTATATGTGAATTGCAGAACAGAACATATGAATGTTTTAATTACTTGGATGTTCTACATTAACATTTGAAGATGTTAATTTTGTAATATAAGCTACTGTCTCTGAAGACATTGAGATGACAATGAAAAGCAGAGAGGAAATGGAAAATAAAATTCCTGGGAGGAAGTATTTTAAATAATTCTGTGGAATACAAGTAGTCTTCTTTATTACTTCCCCATAAAGAAGGAAGCTTGATGCCCCATAAGTCCTTTAAAACTGAGCTCTCTTTCAGTCTTCCTCTCTTTGAACAGAAGGCACACTGGGCTGAAAAAAAAGAAGGCTTTTATTACAAGCGGTGTCCCCGTGCCCTGAGCGCAGAGGGAGACCCCGTCCTGGAGGCCGAGTGAGTGTTCAGGAGCTGCCCTCCACCCGTTTCTCACAGAGACACTGTCCCTGCAGCCTCTAGAGAATGCCATGTGAGGACATCTGATTAACAAGTGGGTTTTCCCCCCTTTCATTCAAATGTGACATTTTCAAGGACTTATGCTAATTAATTTCTTCCCTTTCCAGAAGGAACCTAAAGCCAAATTTGAATCTTAATCTGGATAGGATCAGCTCCATGCATGCTTGAAGTCCTCACTGGGTGAAGTGTGACCAGCAAACCAGGTCTCTGGCTATTACCAGGTTGGGGTGGGGGGTGGAGGGGAGCGGGGAGGAGTGAGGAGGGGAGGAGTGTTTACAGAGAGGCTGAATCTCAGACCTCACCCAAGACCTTATTCTAGACTCCCAGGTGATAGAGATATGTTTAACAGATTGAGAAGCACTTTACTGGGCTTCACTAGAGAATGGGGTCCTGGTAATTCCAGTCTGGGGGTTCTCAGGGCACAGAGATGGCCCTTGGCAAATTATTGCACTTCAACACTCGCTATTGGCAACGGCTGGAAAAGTAGTTTTGGCAAAAATCTTCATGTCCTTTGGCAATATACCAAAAAAGACTGTAAAAATAGCATTTTGTACAAATTCTCCAAATCATGACATGTCTACTTATGATTTGGGTTTGGTTGTGCTGCTAGCCAAACAATATATAAAAAGTACATATAGAAATAGGCTGAATAAATAACAGGCCACCATAACACTAAGAGAAATTTAAGTTTTCTAGGTGTGATATTTTAAGTTAGGTCTGACATTTTAACTATAAAACTAAAAGAAAAGGTCTATCAATTAGCATGGAAAAAAACATGATTACTTTGCTTTTATTTCTTTTTATAAGCCACTGTTTTTGGTTTATTCCTTACCATAAAAAGTAAACAAATCTGTCCTAATTGGTTTGGCTTGGTGGAGAGAGTGCCAGCCCGAGGATTGAAGGGCCTGGGGTTCGATTCCAGTCAATGGCACATACCTCGGTTGCACGTTCAATCCCTGGCCCTGGTCGGGACACGTGTGAAAGGCAACCAATCGATGTGTCTCACATTGATGTTTTTCTCTGTCTCTCCCCATCCCTACCACTTTCCGGGAAGATATCCTCAGCTGAGGATAAACAAACAAAAAGTAAACAATTCTGTAGATTAGACCAGGTTCCTACCTTTATATCCTGTGGGTTGATATCTGGGTTTGTTTGACATCGTAGAGGTCCCAGAGTTTGAATATGAAAAATATAAAGAAGAAACTCATCCCGGGCAGAGAATGGCCAGCCCACCTCCAGAAGGGTGTCACTGATGGTACTCGGTCCAATATTGTGCAACTGCAAGCAAGGAACACATATGTTATGGTGCAACACAGGCAGGAAGAGGAGCTCAAACTCCACACAGTCTGCACCCATTCTGGAAAGCATGACTTTTGGTTTTACGTCATCTGGACTCTGACTGTGAAAAATAGGAAATAGGGTCTCTAAAAGCAAGAGGAGCTCTGGAAGTAAGATGTGCTGGTGCTTAGGGCAGACTCTTCAACCTATGAGGCTCTCAGAGCAGATTTCCTCTGCAGTGACCACATTAACCATGTCTGATCATTGTGATGCTTACCTTAAATTTATATTAATTTAATCGCAGTGTTAGAAATGCAGTTTGAATAATATGCTTTCAAAACCCAGTTATTCTTTCTTTACACTGAAATCACTTCTTTCCTGACTACTGACTTGTCGATTGCAACCATATGTGATGCACTCTCTTTCACCTTCTGGAAACATGGCTATCCATCAAATGCCAGAGACCCAGCTCACCACAGTTCACTTCAAGTGCGCATTTCAAAGCTGAGCTCCTTCTGTTTTAATAAGCAAATCTCAGGGAACGAAGGCCACATCTCCTAAAGAGATGAACATTTTAAGCAAAAGAAACCTGTACTCACAGGACACAAAACAGCTTACCAAAAACACTAAGTATATTCACATTGTGGTCTTAAAAATTCAAAGTTAGCAGGGACCTGTGTGTGTGTGTGTGTTGTTTATTTGTTTGTTTTTCAGAGTTCTGACAATTGTTATGGTCAATAAAATAATTGGTTTTCTTTATTAGGTGGCCCATTTAGTTTGTGTTATCAAAACAATATGGCATTCATTGACAACAGTATACTAGTATTTTGAGACATGTAAGAAACATTTGATGATTTCTTTTGGCGCTGATTATTACCCTAAAATTTTATGATCCATTTATGTTAAGATTAGAACATAATTGATTGAATTTGAATATGTTTTCAAACTTTATAGTTCCACCACTTGTAAGCAGAAATTGGTGCATAGAAGGTTTAATAAATTATTTGACAGCTTCCCCCAATCCAGCCACTCCCTGACCCCCAGTGAAGTTGTTAATCCAAGTGGCCTTGGGGACTGTGTTATCCTTTTGCTATCAAAGAGCTTAAGGTACAGCTTCAGATAGGGCTCCTGCTTCTGAACCACAGGCTGGGCAGATGACAGAGCCATTCCCGTCCACACTGCACAGGAGTCGATGCCTCTTCCCATCTATGTAAACAGCTCATCAGGTTTGAAATGGCTTTATTGTTAAGTGTAGAGAGTGGAATTTGAAATGAAAGTCATAGTCAGAATTGTTAGACCGGTGGTATACATTACATAGGAAAGGGGGCATTAATCAAGCAGAAACCTCTGAGCGCCGACCTCTGAACCAGGAGGCCGAAGTTCGATTCCAGGTCAGGACACACGCTTGGGTTGCGGGCTTGGTCCCCAGCTGGGGGCTTGCAGGAGGCAGGTGATCAATGATTCTCTCCCAAGTTATTCGTGTCTAATTGGGCTTAGCAATGAACAGTAAAATTATTCTTATCTATCCACCATCCATCCATAATATACTATATTATTTACACATTTTTTTGGTATAATAGTGAATAATACATAAAAGTTCCTCTGTCTGGTACCTTTGGTTGGTGACTTTCAGTTTAGGATGTGGGTGGGTTTTCAGGATATCTAAGAGTGAGTGAAATAAAGTCTAAGGAGTTAGTTTTATGCTTAGGCTATATAAACATTAAAAAGAAAGAAAATAAAGATCAATTAACAAAGAAGAACAGTAACAAGATAAGATGCTTTCCCTTATATAATAACTCTTACAACTATAAGCAAGTGTCTTAAGACACTCCCCCCACCCTCTCCATTGAAATATGATAGCAGAATAGCACAAATCTGGGCAGTATATGAAGCTCAGATTTGTTGTCTTTTAAAAGTCTATGAAGCATTTATTAGTCAAGAGCATATGAATAAACCCCAAACACAGCTTCACCAGACAATAGCTACCTCATAAATATGTTCCACCAATGGTCCAACTCCTTCCTCTTTGCGGGGTTCCTCTTCCGGCTCCCAGTTATGAATGGGCAGAACAATCTGCAGAGGGTGGGAGACTCTGAAACATGGAATGTTACATTAACTGCTGATGATGGCACATGTAAAGAACGCTTCACTACAGGGAGAAACCAAGATGGCGGCATAGGGTAGACACCTGAATGCAGCCTACCTCAACAAATTTGAATTTAGAACTGGAAAACAGGGGAAGAATCGCCCTGAAATGCCGGATGGCTGGCTGAAAGGAGGCTCTACCATCTGGGAAGGAGAAAGAAGGCACGCTGAACCTCAGGAACTGTGAAGGTACAAGAACTGTGCACACGAAAAGGCAGCCGCCTGACTTCGCTGCTGGCTTGCTTGCGGAGCATGGAGAGGGTGGGCCGAGTTCGCTGTTGGCTTACTCCCTGTGAGCGGAGAGGGCAGACAGCTAACGCGCAGCAGCTAGCTTTCTTGTTCAGGAGGAAAACAGAACCACCCTATTGCTCTGATAGACAGTCCCAGACAGGGAGAGGCCAGACTGTCAGGCAGTGGGCATAGATCTCTCGGAGGTGTGTGAAGCCAGCGGCCATTACTGCAGGACTCAGAAGCCAGACCCTCGTAGGGAGGGGCTGAATAAAACTTGTCTGCACCACCCGAGACTCCGCCCCATCCAAGTGGAGCACAGAAGCCCTTCCAGTGGCTAGTTTTTTACTCTTCTAGGGAGGGACAGACAGGAATCCAAAGTTTGTCTGCGCCTATACCAAAGAGGTGCATGCACCTGCAACCAATCTTCCGGGATTCACCAAAGCTTGGCTGTGCCCCCCCGAGACCCCGCCCCATTCAAGTGGAATACAGAAACCCTCCTAGCTGAGACACTTCTGATCCTCTTAGCCAATTGGCTTGGAGATCAATGCTTACCAGTGATACTAACAACAAGCAAGGCTTAATAAGACTGCACACACAGCCCACAAAGGGCTACACTAAGACTGTCCACCTCAGGTAACTGGGAAGCTGACCCACTCAACCATATAGGACAACTTAGCACACAAAGGCACCCTACCAACTCAGGGAAGCTGTGAAAATGCCAAGACAAGGAAACAGATCACAAACAAAGGAAATGGAGGACAAGAAACAACTGAATGTAGAGTTTAAAACCATGCTTAAAGGTTTTTCAAGAATTTCCTAGAAAAGGCTGATAAAATAAATGAGACCTATGAGGATATGAAAAGTGATCAACTAGAAATAAAGAATACTGAAATAAAAAAAGATTATACAGTGTCTGAAATAAAAAAAGATTATACAGTGTCCTAAAAACAGAATGGAAGATCGCAAGAATCAAGTCAAAGTTTTGGAACATAAAGAGCCAGAGGACACTCCTCCACAGAAGCAAGAAGATAAGAGAATCCAGAAAGTTGAAGATAGTGTAAGAAACCTTTGGGACAATTTCAAATGAACCAACATCAGAATTATGGGGGTCCCAGAATAAGAGAAAGAGCAAGATCCAAAAGGATACTGGAAGAAATTGTGACAGAAAACTTCCCCTACCTGGGGAAAGAAATAGACTTACAAGTCCAGGAAGCACACAGAACCCCAAACAAAAGGAATCCAAAGAGGACCACACCAAGGCACATCATCATTAAAATGCCAAGAGCAAAAGACAAAGAGAATATTAAAAGCAGCAAGAGCAAAGCAGATAGTTACATATAAAGCAGATAGTTACCTTAAGAATTTAGAGCTAAAAGTAATCTCATCTCATCTCTTGAGATGGATAATTTAGCATATGTATACATATATATTAGATCCTGTGTAAGTGTAAGTGTAAGTGTGTTTGGTGCTTGTGTGCATGTGTATGGGATATACAATTCCTACTTTCAGCCATATAAAGAAACAGGACTGTTTTGTGTAAATAAAAATCTAGAATTTTGTGTGGGTGTTAAATGCCCAGTGAAATACTTCATGATAGAAAAATAACCACTTGTACATTCCTCTTAGATTTCTTTGGCTTCCTATTTAATTCAGCCATACCTCTCAAAAGGCCAGGCTTGGAGCCAAAACAAAATAAGGCCTGTTCATGTTCTAAAGTTGTTTTACAGATTACTCAAGGGGAACTTAAATGGTGTAAATCATATAAGTAGGATATTAACTCGATAGCTAGGGATTATTGCCTGCAATTTACACCTTGAGAGTGAGCACTGGATGAAGGAAATGCAGTACAGAGTGCTATTCTTTATTAAAAGCTGATTATAAAACAAATGATTATTTTCACACAATCTCACAAAAGATAATTCTTAGAAAATCCACAATGCTTTCAAGTAATTTTCAGCTAAAGATATATTTAAGACTTTCCTGACTGTCAGCTGAAAGTAACTTCATCTTGTCTTTTGGCAATCAGATGTCTTAAATGCCCTTTTAAGGGTATCCGGTCGTTAACACAGCCTCCAGCAATTTTGAACTTTATCTTTTTCCCCTCCCTCTGGCAACCTCTTTCTAAAGCAGAAGGTACACTTTATTGGGTTAAATTCTGAACCAAAGGCAAATAATTTAACGTCTGTGGGTCTCTATTTCCTCATCTGGAAAATTGTGATGATAAACTTTTTGGGTTGCACACCACAAGTAATTGGAAAACATCTTAAATGCTTTTGGTCAAAGCTAATTTGGGGGTACCGTCTTCTAGGGGAGGGTATAAGTATGTTTTTAAAACTGAAAACCACAGAAATGTACTAAATTGTAAAATATTTTGCATTCGTACTTAAGGTGTAATTATTAAATAAAAAGTGCAGGGCACAGCCTTGCTGGGCAGATACCTCAACATTCTCCGCTCTTAGAATGGTTTGTTGTTATGCCAGGCGTCCTTTACCCACTTAATTTGATTAAATCCTGTTTCGATCAAACATAGGGAACTTGGTAAAGAAAAGAGCCTAAGAGATGACAGGTTTCTTTCACTAGAGGGAAGTCCAGAGCGCTTGGGCTCCCATTCCCACATGGTCTTGATGATCTCACCACTCAAAGCTTTATTTCACTCTTAGGCTTCTTAGCTTGGCAGCAACAGAGTTGATTCCATCGTGTCTACATCCGTTGTAAGGCTCTAGGAAAACTTTTGTTTTGCTTTGTTTTTATGACCATTAGTCCTAAAGGACTGGTTGTGAATTCTCTAGGACCACAGAATCATACAGTTAGATGTGGGGCCAGTGTTATGGAGATACTGCGATCAAAATCCCTAACTTTATAAACGAAATAAAAACTGATGGGCCAGAGAAGTAGGGACTTAATTGCAGGTGAAGATTAGAGCTCAGGCTTGCTCAGCACCATCCACTCTATTTCCAATATACAGTGCACCCCAGGGGCCACTTGGCTGCAGCGGTTTAGTAAGCACAACTTAAAAAGAAAGTTCCCCGCCCATTTCTATAACAAAATCAAATAAAAATCTATAAAGAAAACTATCACAGGCAGGGTGTGGCAAAATCATTTAAAAAGTATGTCTCACAAAATTCACATATCCACCCTCTGAAGACCTTTCCAAACCTGGGAAACCATGGCAAAGAATGGCTCTCTAAAGATCTCAACTAAATAAGGGAAGCATTGCTCCATATTTTCAAAGTTACTATTTTTTAGAAGGAAGGGAGAAAGAATACCATTAACTAATTAACCTAGGAGAACAGCCAGTGCAGTAATCCAACAACCCTTAGCCTCACATTCTAAGATGCAGGATAGTCCTTTACTCACAGACACCCTCGAGCAATAAGGAAATTAGGGTAGTCAGTGGTAACACTGGACATTGGGAAGAGCTTTGAGGGAAAGCAATGAATTAGATTTTTATTTTAATTTTTATTTTTTTACATGTGTGAGACCACACATCCCTGGCAGCCACAGCACCACGGCCACAGGGCTTGGAAGGAAACAGTTTTATTTTGAGCAGAGTGCAAAGACAATGCAGCACTTCGCAGCTACATTGTAACTAGATCCTGCTCCTGAATTAGATTTTTGATAATTTAAAATCTATATGCTATTAGGAAGTTAAAATCTAATAATGAAGTAGTATGCAATGCCCCAATTTTTGTATGCCTGTTTTCAGCAGAATTAGTCCAAAATAGCAAAGACGATCATTTGTGGAACAAAGTTGGCTCTACCTGCTGAAGACATATCTATGCAGAAAATAATTATTCATGACTGTAGGCTCTCTCAACACAAACCCATTCAATCCTGATTATTTTATAAAAGGTATAATTTTATTATTCTTTGAGATCTTAATATATCTGGTGCTGCTTCTTGTGACCAAGTTTACTTCTTACATAACTATGCTAAATTAATCCTTTGTTCCGATAGGTGACATGTACCTCTGCTTAAAGACAGTGTTGAAATTACCTAGCTTTGAAACAAATGAAACAAGTCTCAATATTTTTTCCCTTCCCCCAAAATAAATTCATGAATTTATTTTTAAAATTACAAAACAATACTAAATTTTTTAAGAGAACATTTAGAGACAGTGCATGATAATGTACACTGGAATAAATATAATTGGCCAAAAAGAAAATTAGATTTTCCTAAAGACTAAACATAGAAGATTTTCAACACAGTGACTATTTTTAAGAATTAAACGTGCGAATTAATGTTTTTTGCTGAGTATTTGGAGGAAAGAGTTTCATTTTGTAAAATAACTAAAAAAGAACTTTAATACTAACTTAGAGAAAAAAATATGGTCAATTGTTGAACATTAAACAATTAAAATAATTGGCACCCATATGAAAAACCCAATTTTAATTATCTGTCTTGATTATTGGCAAAATGAATATAAACATTTCCACCTTTTTTACTTAGAAACATTAATGCAATAAGTGATGACAGAAATACATTTAAAAATATTAATCTCGAAAAATGAATATGTAAAAATAAATAGTTACACTTAATCCCTTAGCTTCCTTGGACCTAACAGGGGGGTGGGGAGGGGAGAGGGGGACATATCTAGGGAGGGGTTTGGGATGGGAATGGGGGAATAAGGACAATTATGTGAGACTATAATCAATTAAAAAAAAAGAAATAAAAGCAGTTCCAAATTTAAAACTTATTTTGTAATAAACAGTTTCAATTTATTTTTTGGTTAGCAAAACAAAGATAAACTCAATTTATAGGAGAAAAAATTAACTATATACCAGTTATGCTTTTTTTTTTAAGATCATAGATAATAATGTTTCTGTTTTCTTTTCTGATTTAAAAGATAGTTTTTTTCTTATCAAGAGCAGAATGGGGGAATTAAACTAGAAATTCACAAAATTAAAATAGATTAGCTCCAAATATCTGTAAATCAAAGAGGTCACTTCCTATGAGTCAACTCATAAGTTAGAAGAAATCACAAAGGAAATTAGAAAATACTTAGAAGTGAATTCACAATGAAAAACCAACATATCAACACTTATGCATGCTACTAAAGCGGGAAATTCACCTCACAGAATGCTTATGTGAGAAAAGAAGACAGGCCTCCCATCAATAACCTGATTTCTGCAGAGAGGAAGGAGAGTAAAAAAGAGAAACCCAACCCAAAATGAGCAGAAGGAAGGAAATAATGACAATAAAAGCAGAAACAAATGGAATAGAAAACAAAAGCAAAAAAATTTTCTAAAAATCAATGAATAAAAGAATTGGTGTTTTGAAAAGACCACTAAAAGCTAGCCAGACTGATCCAGGGGAAAAGGTAAAAGATACAAATCACCAATACTGGGAATGAAGAGGGGACATCATTAGAAATCCTTCCTACAGATAATAAAAAGAAAATGAGAGACTATGAACAACTTCATGTGAAAACATGTAACAACTAAAATGAAATAGGCAAGTTCCTTGAAAGACTACCAAAGTTCACTCAAATGGAAACAGAATATAAATAGCTTTATATCAAAGAATGCAATTGAACTGTTAAAACTTTCCTGCAAAAACAAAAAGCCAAACAATCAAACAAACAAAAAGCAAAATACTCGACTCACATGGCTTGCCTGGCGATTTTTACCAAATATTTATGGAAAAAAAATACAAATTTTACACAAACTCTTTCAAAAAATAGAGCAGATGGAGAAATCATTCCAACTTATTTTACAAAGCTGGCATCCCCCTGATACCAAAGTCAGAAAAAGATATTGTAAGCAAAGGAAACTACAGATCTATATTTCTTATGAACATATATGCCAAAGTCACTAACAAAATTCTAAATTGAGTCCCATAATATATAAAGAGAACAATAATCATGACTAAGTGTACTTCTTCCCCAGAAAGTTTGGTTTAAATTCAATCACACACACACACACACACACACACACACACACACACACACACTGTAAAATATGATGTCAGAATCATTAAGGTTATGCATATGTAAAGGCCTGGGGATGGGTGGAGGCAGGATGAATGGGGTCAATGGGGAAAAAGAGGGACATTTGTAATACTTTCAACAATAAAGATAAATTAAAAAAATAAATGTGGAGGAGTAAAAACTGTAGTATTTTCAGAATGTGTTTGAACTTAAACAGCTATCAACTTATAATGGATCGCTGCAAACATCGCTTGTTATATATGAACCTTATGGTAACCAGAAACCAAACAGGTTCAATCCCCATCTGGGTGCCTATGGGAGACAGCTGAACAGTGTTTCCCCCTTACCTCAATATTTTTCTCTCTCCTTTTCCCTACCTCTCTCTAAAAATCAATAAACAGATCAAGGGGTGAGGAAAATAATAACAACAATAATAGTAATGATGTAGAGTAATGGAAACATTGTATATTCTCTGATCCTAATATTCCACATCTGAGCATAAACTATTCTGATAGTCAGAAAATACATATACGAAAGTTTGTAAAAATAAATAAATAAATAAATAAACAAATAAATAAATAAATAAATAAATACAAGAAAACTCCCAAATATTCATCAAGAGTAGAATGGATAAATAAGTTATGGTATAGTTCTAAGTTATTGTCTTCTGCAGTCAAGATGAATGAACTATAGGCACATGGACTAAAGTGGATGAATGTCAAAACATTAATTTGAATGGAAAAAAAACACACAAAAGAGAACATAAAATGAGATTTTGTGTAGATAATGTTCAAGAAACTCCATTCGTAGGTTGCATAGCTGACATTTATAACATGCACTTAGGCCAGGCTGCCTGTGCTTACATCCCAGCCCCCACTTCCTAGCTGTGTAGCCTTTAACTCTGTGCCCAAAGCTGTACAGCAAGGACACTAGTACACATTCAGATGTCCTAACATGGTGGGTAACACATGGAAGTATCAATAAACGTTAGGCATTATTATTATTCTCTGGCCCACTAGGTGGAGCCTCAGAGGTGCCAGGATAGCAGGTACACACCCACTTCCTTGAGTGCAGCAGCAGGGGGCAGAGTAAGAAAATGCCAGGTGACAAAGTCTCTGAGAGCAGAAATCTATAGTTGCCATTGCGGAGGAATGTGAACCACTCAGACCTAAGGAAAAGGAAAAGGGAAACGGATTGCTGGAGTCCCAGTGACTATTCAGCCCTAACCCATTGATATTTTTTAGCCAACTAGTTGTTCTGAAGAAACAATAAGAATTAAAATAAAAGTAATGACATCCGTGCTTGCACAGGTAAGAACTACATGCAGTCCATTTCTGATTCCCCTCCCCCCCACCACACACACACAGGATGAATTTTCCAGATGGTAGTTATTTCAAGCCTTTTACTTGACCACTTTCCACCTGTCTCCCAATTGATGGCTTATTGGCACCTTCTTCAAAGAACAGGACAAAATGAAAAAGCTTTAAAATGTAGATCCCATCAGCCCTCACATCGCAGACTTAGCCATTTCTTAAACTCAAGATGTGGTATGGCGAGGCTGAATTTTCCCTCTGCGAAAATAATAGACATACTCGAGAAGTGAGACTTTCAGGCAGTCACACGGATGTCCATTTTATCTGTCTTCTTGCCACCAGCTTTTATAGTTTGATTATTAAACTGTCAGTTTGAGGAATAAAGTGAGCCCTTGTTTTGATGTCTACAGACTTAATTACCATACAGGATTTACTCTACTTTGCAATGGAAGGCTAATAATGGGCAGAAAAGAATGAAAATTTATACCAAAGTGAACTGTGATCTTGAATGCATTAGGAAAATTCCACACAATTTTTACTGGCATTTTATCAACACTCTCATATACAGAAAGCTATTATTACATATAGTGTAACTACTACAATGCTTTATTACTTACCCTCTTATTTCTACTTGAGCTACAGCAGTGATGTTGATTTGCAGGCTCACAAGATTGCTGTCTGGATTATCCTTGTTGGAACTAAAACAAAAAGACATATAATTGAAATATATTTTCTCAGACATGTTACTATAACATATGATCATAAAATACATTCTGTATACCACTTGAGCAACACACATTACCAACATGCTCGTTCAGAAAACAATAGCATATCCATTCTACAAAATCATAACCATTTATATATGGAAATGCTAAGATCCATTATGATCAGAAGTAATGAATATAACTTCTCATGAGGAGACATCTTATCAGAAAGCACAGTTGATATCTGGAGAAGCTAATCCTTTTTCTGATTCAGTGGCTACACCCAAAAGGCAGTGAGCTGAGTTCATTTTCCAGCATCTAACTTGGACACATTCCTTAACTTCTCTGAGCATCATATTCATTGCCCATCAAATGAAATAGGACAGCACAGTCAACTTCTGTTTTCCATGCTCATAAAAAGGAGGACTGGCAAGAATAATCCAAAAGCTACACATAATGGAAAAAGCATTTGCATTTGGCTTTGGAATGCATAATACCATGCATTGTTTGGGCAGCAAATTTATCTTCTGTATGGGTTTATTTCTTAAGTAATATTAAAAATAAGTTGGCATTCACTGCCTGCTCACTGACCCTCAAGGGTGGGTTGGGGAGGCCTGGCTAGTAGGGTGAAGAAGGGAGATCAGAGAAAGTTGGGCAGTTCATGCAGAGGCATCGATGTTTGTCACATGCATCAGGAATCTCAAGCTGGGACCCTGGCCAGGTAGCTCAGTTGGTTAGAGCATTGTCCTGATACAACAAGGTTGTGGGTTTGATCCCAGGTCAGCACACATACAAGAATCAACCAATGAATGTGTAAATAAGTAGAACAACAAATGGATGTTTCTCTTTTTCTTAAAGTCAATCAATAATTAAAAAAAAAAAAAAAGAATCTCAAGATGGAAGGTACATGCTTAATAATATTTCTTTGTATAGCGGCAAAATGATTTTCAAGTTTGCTGTTTCTTTCTCTCCAGCAAATATAAGTAGACATAAAATTTAACTATGCCAAAATAATTACTGGAGAAGTGAGACTTTCCCCCCAAGAAACTTGTGGTAAGCAGCCAGTACCGTAAGGAAGATGAAATGTGTCTCAAGAGGCTTGACCGAGAGCTGAGCTTTTGGATGCATTTATTGTCCTTCTGTGCTGTCATTGAAGTCACCCTCATATCCCAAAGACTATGCAGCTTGTAGCAAACTGAGACATGGCCACACCCCCACTAACAGGCCATGATCATATTCAGGTCTCATTAAGCAGAGTAAGCACCTCTTCTTCCCACAGAATCTCACAGATTCAACGGACAGGCTCTAACCCTGCAATGGTGGTAATGGGTATGCTCTGTTTAGCTTTGGAAGCTTTCTAAATGTGGGAGCTGGAGAAGACAGGATAAAAGACTGCTTTCAAAGGAGGAGTTAGAATTGTTCCCACATTGCTTTGTAAAAGTCCCATTTGATTGTATATACTGATAAGGCAACTTAAACGACAAACACACATAAAAGACATAAACAGGCAAATGTCAGGCTCATTTCCTGTAATGGGGATCACTGCTAAGCTTGTGATGAGCCTAGGGGGACTTGTTCACCAAAGTCTGAACACCCGTCTCCAGGCCATTTTATTATTATCCCATCTGGGGAGGATCAGTCAACTAAAACATTTCTTTCTTGCTTGCTTTTTTTAAAGGCAGAATTCTGAATCACTAACCAATAAGAAGTCATTAAGTAAACTCCACTTGTTGTAGACTTCGTGGTTCCAAACCCATTACAGGAATGCGGTAGTTTGGAAATGTAAGTCTCCTTGTTCCACGGATTAACTAGACTTTGTTCTATTTTCTAGTTCATTACCATTTTGTGGAAGTGGAAATTAGAATTGGGGGGAGGGAAGGAGTGTCATTTAAGTTATTCCATAATTCTATTGTATTTTCTTTCTAAGAGGTTCAAATAAACACAATTTCCATTATTCACAACACCCTGAAAATATAAATATATGGTAAGCACTGAAATCATCTTGGGACAGGAATCCAATATGAGGCTTACAGAGGCAGTTTTGAAATTTAACAAAAGCAAAGGCAGACCCTGAGGCTAGACCTGGTTGGCTGATCAGGTTCATCCTGCCACACAAGCTTCACAGGACACTTGGTACTGCAACCAGTGATGTCAACAAAGCTCCCGGCAAGAAAGGTACCAGACCTGACATATAACTTGGGAACTTCTTTGACCTCTTTCCTGGAAGGAAACCTGCCGCACTAATATAAATGCTGTATTCAAACAAGCAATTTGCCACAGCCCTGGATGCTGAGCTACTTAAACTGTCAGTGCTACCCTGTTTCCCCGAAAATAAGACAGTGTCTTATATTAATTTTTGCTCCCAAAGAAGCGCTAGATCTTATTTTCAGGGGATGTCTTATTTTTTCATGAAGAAGAATATGGTTCACATTTATTGTTAAATGAAAATAAAGGAAATTTATTACCTGTATATGGTACAGTAGTTGTCAACACAAACCAGACAAACTGTGAATCCTACAGTATCAAGAATTTACTCATTATTCAATGACAATCATGTCATCATCTTCTGGAACATCATCATAACAATTCAATTCCTGAATTTCCTGGTGAATTTCTTGTGACTCCATTTCTTTCAGAATCAGTGGACCAAATCTCTCATGTTTAGCCTGGGGGGGGGGGGCGGTTATTTTCGGGGGATGCCTTATATTTGACTCAGAAGGAAACCTATAAGTAGGTCTTATTTTGAGATGATGTCTTATTTTCAGGAAAACATGGTAGTTCTACGCAAGAAACACTGAATTTCCTCTCCTTGACTGCGCCCTCTGTCATGCATCAAGGATAAAGATGTTTTTTTACCTTTTACTCCAATGCAATTTTCTTTTTCTTTACTGTGGCCTACTTTCTATTTTCTAGCAATCCCTCTATGCTTTCTGTGGTCTTTGGAATATCAGCAAAGGCAATACAATGTTCATGTCACCATTACTGAGGGAGCATAAGCAACGATGATCACAAAGATGTGTTCGTGCATGAGAATTGCTCACTGAAACCCATGCTACACAGGGAGGAAAATGTTTACATGTCACACACTGCCAGGGCACGGAGACACCATTTAATGCAAACATTGGTGACACAAAATATTTTAAGTTTGTTAATTTGTAAATCCCAGTTTTCTTTTGGGTTCTATTTATGGAAAAGGGCATTAAATGTGGGTAACAGTGGTCAATATGGACCAAAGCTTTAGAGTTCAGAGCATTTGGTTTAGTTTAGTTTTGGTTTAAACACATTTAAACTGGACACAAACCATCCATTAAATACTTACTTACATCTTTGGAGTCTGCCAGAAAAGCATGCAGATAAAGGCGCACTTCTCAAATGCTTTTGTAATTGAGAACTAAAAGTATTCTCAAATGCTTTTATCACTGTAACGTATGTTTTTGGAATTGATGCTTTATATAGGCTCCCCAGTTCTTTCTGCATTTTCACATTTTTCAAAATAATGTTAAAATATTGGTAAGTTTTGTAGCACATAAGGATGGAATAGTCATGATATTAGATGAAGGGGGATGTTAAGAATGCGAATATTTCTACTTTCCATCAAATTCAGCACTTTATCATCTAATTCAGTATTTCAACGATGATCTACGCAGGGTGGGAACATTGGCCTGCAGACCATTTAAGGTCTGTAATCTCATTCAGTCTGGTCCTGACAAGGCATCAGGGGTGAGTTAATTAAATGTTTGACCAAATATAGCAGGCTAATTTTTAAGCTGATAATTTTGTGTAGCCCGTGATTGATGTTATAAATATCCAAATGGCCCTTGGCAGAAAAAAGGTTCCCCACCTCTGATCTACAGGGTGGAACTGGGGAAGGCAGAGAACATTCCCAGTGCCCTCTGCTCCCCGAATGAATTGCAAATTGTATCTCTATCTCTTTATCCATAACTGCAGTCAAAGGTCATGGGGAAGGTCAAGGAATTTGCTTTGCGTCTTTGTAACAGACTTTTTTTTTTTTTTTTTTTTTTAAATAAAGGCTGCATATTTTATGAAAGGTGTAAGTTTCCCCCAAGTGACAAAGCTACATGCCACCACAGGATCAATGTCACAGACAATGATGGTGAGAACTGAAAACTGGCCTGCTGCCTGGAGTGATGGTGGTCCTCCACTATGGAGCACTCTTTCTTTGTTGTTGTTGTTGTTTTTTTCCCTGAAAACTTACAAATATTAACCAATTACCCAAGTGAAAATATTGATGAATAGCTAAGCTTCTTGGGAAATATATATTTATATGTTTTTAAAAATGATTCAATAAGCTTTTGATACAATAAAGAATAATTCATTCTATCTATATATCTCATTACTAATTTAAATTAAATTTTTTTTAAATTAAGATTCAGCAAAAAATATTTCAGTTAAAATTTAAAAGACCCAATTAAGGTCAGAAAATGATATAAAAAACCCTTTTCCCTGTAAATGTAGCACAAAACTCAGAGAATATGGTCTATGACACAGGTTGCAAATTTTTGAAATTGCCTATATTCTTATAGAGTTTATCTTTTTCTTTAGTCTTAAACTTCTAATTAAGTAGTTATTAAAAATAATGCTTTGTGCAAAATAATTTTTCTAAAAATCCTCACACTTCAATGACACCCTTTTGCAGGACAGAAGGTATGTTTAGAGATTCACCATGATGCGCACTAGTATTTGAGAATGAAATTGTAAATACTGGTGTTCATATTAGAACGTGCTGGGCAAGTTATAAATAACTATGAAAGGCCTGTATGTGCTTTCACATCAGTGTCTTTCAAACTTTTAAAATTGCAGATCACAACATTATATATATATATATATACATCTCCCAGGATATCTTACTATATATTTATATTTATCTGAAAGGGATGTTTCATGAATAGGACTCTGATGTATCATATTTCATCAATTGCCTTTTCTTTTGCTACAAGTCTATAGTCAATAAATGGATTCCATTGCTGGATAATGGGTTGCAGTCCACAGTTGGGACTCCTGGCCCTCATGAACACGCTCTCTGTGGGTCCTCCTACTCATGAAATATATTCGGCCATGAAGAAGCAAACAGAACAGATGGTACAGTCACACTTGAATTCCTGAGCAGGATTAGTCTTAGAAAAAGAGGGGAGCTATGTGTGACTCAGCTCATAGTTGCCAGAGAAGGCTATGCCCTTCGAATTGGGGGGGGGGGGGGCACAGCAAGAGTAGTTTTAGAATAGTTTGTATGGAAAATAATACAGCACAAGAATTCATAAATAATAATTCAATAAAAAAACTCCATGCTTCATGTATTCACAACTGTAAACCTATTTTTGCTTCACCCTATGTATGATCTTATCTGCATCTTGCCTTGATGCTCATATTAAACCATCAAAGAGAGACTCATTAATTCTTGAAAAGTTAGAATAGTTCAATATTTCTAATGCAAAATCTATGTTTTTTTGCAGAAATTTTGTTCTTAGGGATTAGTTAACCCCCGCATGAGAGCATGGTAGGGATGTGAGGGGGTGGAGGTGGTAAAAGGCATGTGCATCAGAATGAGGAAAACTGGAAGTGAAGGGAGGTGGAAAGTGTCCAGGACAAAATTTTACTCTCATAACTTGCAATCTCTTTCAGAATCAAAAACATTGAAAAAACTGAGATATACAAAGGAAAAATGGGCTGTGAAAATCTGAGTTCAAATTTCAGATGAACTTTTATATATTGATTTTTTTACAGAGAGGAAGGGAGAGGGACAGAAAGTTAGAAACATCAATGAGAGAGAAACATTGATTCAGCTGCCTTCTGCATGCCCCCCTACTGGGGATGTGCCCACAACCAAGGGACATGCCCTTGACCGGAATCACACCTGGGACACTTCAGGCCACAGGCCGTTGCTCTATCCACTGAGCCAAACCCGTCAGGGCTCAGATGAACTTTTAAGATGAAGGAGCTTGACAAGTAGCATTCATTTCACTGTGTATTATTTTAATATTGAGTGTTAGGCATTTAAAGGTCTAACCTTCTGATTTGAAGATCGAAGTTAATGCTCACGTTTGTTTTCTCAAGACGTGGAACTGCAAATCGGAGGCCCAGAGAATACTAAATTTAAAAAACAAACATACACACATACAACACACTATGTTATTACATGGGTGGAACCTTATACACAGCATAAAATATTTTAAAGTTATCCTGCAAAAACCACTCTGGATTGCTATTCCTTTTCCTGCTTTTATCTTGGATGGCTGAGAGCTGAGAGGAAGCCATGCAATTGAGGCAGTAGGGCCCAGACAATGCCAGTCCTTACACATTTTGGTTCCCTCTTTTCACTTAGCCCCATACTAACTCTTCTCCTGACACCTTGCTGTGTGCCAAATTGAAAACAACCTAAATATACGAGGTGAGTGATTTAGAAAGCTGTGATTCCATTTTATGATGGACATTTATATAGTCTTTGAAATCATGGCTATGAAGCCTATGCAACAATGTGAAAAGTGCTTATGACATCATGATGGTCAATAAATAAAAAAGATTACAATGTTGTAGGTGTGATGTGTTTCAGCTATGATTTTAAAAGTCTATCAACGGAAAAGTCATTGTATAGGAGTAAGGATATATTGTAAGAAGACATACCAAACAATATACTCTGCTATGTTAAAGTTATAAATGTGTTGGTTATTTTTTCCACCTTTATTTTCAAAAGTTTTAAAACTCTCTTGTAATTTTTATAATTTGAAAACAGATTTCTAAACTTGGAGAAAAGTAAGTCCAATAATAATATGGATGAGGTAAAAACAATAGCTAAGACATAGGATGATAGTAATGCGTCTCCCGTGAACTATACCAATCCTAACATGCATTGTTTCATGAAATCACAGCAACTAGTCAGTGAGGTAGGGACTGTGGTTGTTTACATTTTGCAATCAAGCAGCAATCTGAGGAGGAGAGAGATCAAGTGACTTGCTCCAGGAGCAAAGCAAATAAACTGCAGAATTGGAATTAAAATCCCTTCAAGCTGACTCCAGAATCTGACTCCACTCCACTCCACTATGAGAATCAAACCATTAAAAACTCAGATTAATATGATGCAGTAATAACATGAACTAATAATAAACTGTCACTTTTATCATAAATCACCATTTTTCTAGCCCTTACTGAATGTGCTGCAAGCCAGGTGCTGCCCTAGTGTAAAGTCACCAGCGGTTTATATCACGTCATTGCGTTACTCCAAACATTCCCGCAAATAGGTGTTCTCCCGCTTCAGTGTGCCATGCCCGAGACATCACAGCTGATAAACGGCAGTTGAGATTTAAACCCAAGTGTGTCTAGTTATGAAGCCTATGCACCTATGTACCAACCATGATGAATACTTTTAATATTCCAAGTGTGCAATTTTCTGTCAGACCTCTGGGTCTTTGCCACATGCTCTTCTCTCTTTGGAAATCTTGTATGCCTTTCCCTGCTTTCTCTACTTGGAGAATTCCTGCTCATGTTTCAAAACACAGGATAAGAGATGCCTCCTGCAATACATCCTCTGATCCCCCAGGCCGGATCGGGCAGAATTTTTTAATTTATTTTCTCTATCTTTGCTAGTCTCCTATCATTCAACCTATGATATTGCTAATTTTTGAGTTTATTATTGAATGGGGTTGTATATTTTCATCTTGATATTGTCAGATTCTAGCTTAGTCAGGCATCTATAAGGAGTGGCAACAAAACTGGTTATCTATAATAATAAAAGCATAATGTGCAAATTGACCAAACTGTTGTACAGCCAAACGACCATCCAGACATTTTTTTTTCAGACAAAGCCAGGGCTGTGAAGGTCTACTCTTGCACACATTTCGTGCATTGGGCCTCTAGTTTCTCATAAAAAAAGAATGACGAGAAAGAGTGTGCCATAGTTTGTACACTTCCAGTGATGGGGATCTTACTATATTGTGATGAAGTATACCTAATATTTATCTCCATTATGAAACTCAGTGCGGGGTGAAGATAAAGGTGTGACAAACTCATATTAGCAAAAGATACGTGTGTTCTTAAATGGAATCTAACACCAGGTCTTTGGCCATTGATTCTAAGAAGTCTTTGTTGAACTACTATTACTTGTTTAAAAGATTTTGCAAATTTTTATGAATCTCATTGGTACGTAAATATTTTCTATTATTGTAGCTATTCTATGAAAATGACATTACTACTTACAAATCAGAAGTTATACTTCTGAGTACTGCCTTGAATAGTTTGTTAAATTAAAACATAAAGATGCTTGAAAACTATTATGATGTTTTTTTAATATTTAGGACTGCTTTTGCCTTTGGAATTTTATTACAGCCCACGAGAGAGTATTCTTTTTAAAGTACAAACTGAGGTAAATAAATCAAAGTGTTTTATAACAAAGCAGAATGCAATAAAATTGGATGGGCATTATAAAGTGAGATAAGAAAGCTATTAGGTGACTTATATTACAGACCTCAGAGATAAATGAATAGAAACAATTTACTTCCTTGACTTCTAAAGATTACTTCCTGATAAAACAGATTGACATGGTTTCACATAAACACATTTGTGGTTAAGACCACACTGTCATTTTACCCTCCACTTTGAATGTCACTGGTAGCCAGTTTCTGTTCCATGGTTATTTTAGTTATTGATGAGTTTAGATTACCTCTGGTCTAGATTTAACACCTTTAATAATGAAAAATTGAATTAGTGCCCAGTCATCTACAGATGCTAACACCATTGCCATTACGCCAATTCATTTCTCTTTGGCCTTAGGGAGAATTCTACATATCAAATTAGATGGTTGGATTGTGGTTGAAAATTAGCAAAAGGATTTATTAGCTTCCAGAGAAAAGAATTCTAAAGAAAAATGTTCTAATGTTGCAGCTTAAATTTCCATTCTGTCTTCCATGGCCTCGTTTAAGTATCTCATCTGTTACCCATTAGTTTTCACCCAAGTACTCATCACAATTTTGCAGACAGGACTGGTTCAAATCTTGGGTCTGTCCTCCATTACCTATGTGACTTTGGGCAATTCATTTGATTTGAGTCTAAGTTTTCTCATCCATAACATGGGAGAAATACCTGACTCAAAAAGTAGTTGGTTGTTGTGAAAATTAAATGCAACAACGTTGAAAAACCACCCAGTAATGGGTTTATAACAAGAGGGTCATCCAATTATGTTAGCTTATAAAAGTTGATTTTTCATTTAAATATTTACTTTCTTTTTAACCAAGAAGTGAGCTTACTAGACTATATAGCTTGTACCCTTTTAAAAATTACCTAGTATCAATGGTACAGTGTTTATTATAATGTAAAAAAAGCAAAAATACTTTTTTGCACAATATCCTAAAGTTTAAATTGGGAAAATAGGTATTTGCTTTTTTGAGTGTTTTCTTTAAAAAAATTTTTTTTTTAATCCTTACCTGAGGATATGATTTTCTAACTGATTTTAGAGAAAGAGGAAGGGAGAGGGAGAGAGAGGAAACAGTGATGTGAGAGAGAAACATAAATCGGTTGCCTCCCTTAAAAACCCTGACCAGGATCAAACCAGAAACCTGGGTGTGTGCCCTGACTGGGAATCGAGTCTGTGACTCTTGGTGTACAGGACAACTCTCCAAATTACTGAGCCACACCAGCCAGGGCGGGAATAGGTATTTCTTGATAGAAAGGCTCAAACACATGTGTGAAACTCTGAGCCGAGAGGTTTATTTACTGCAGCACTTCTCAGTAGCTTTAAAATGCAAACATGCACCTGAGTGTCCCAGAGGATCTGACATTCAGCAGTGACCACAGAACTCTTCTTTAAAGGCTTACCTCAAGAGATTAGGTCTCTTCGGAATATAATCTGGAAGTTGTTCTAATACAAATCTATGTAATTGTAATTTTTTTTCAAACAAACCATTCCATTAATCATCATAAACATCAAATTTAAAATAGAGGGATGCATAGGTTTGGTTTATGTAACAATTAATTACGTAGTATTTGCAGATTTCAGATTATTTTTCAGATATATGACTTCAAAAATAAGTATTTCCTCTGTGATATTTATTACAAGAAGTTCCTATGTGTACACGTAAACAGTAATTGCATAAAATAAAAGTTTTGTCCAAAAGTAATACTGAATGAAAAGTTCCTAAATCTGGAAACAAAGAAGAAGAAAAACTAATGAAGAGAAGCTAGTGAAGGAAGAGAAGAAAGAAGAAGGGGAGGAGGAGGAGTGGTGAGGGCCCGGGGAGGAGGAAGAGAAGAAATAAACCAACTCATTATTTCATGAGCAGGTTACAGATCATTATTAACCCTTTCTTTTTCTTGCTATAACTTTCTGTATTATTCTTCAGCTAAAATATATTATTCTTCAAGTAAGATACCAGTTCTTTAAGTCATACCTGGTAAAGCTGATTTAAAAGCTGAATTATTATATTTTAATATGAAAGTACTGTGAATTATAATCAAATGGGAGGTATATTAGAAATAAAAAAAATCAATCATCTTTGCTAAAAATTTTAATTGTTATTCTTAAATAATTATATTGTACTTGTTTTCTAATTCAAGAAAAAGTTGTAGTAAATAAAAAAGTCAACAAAAATCTGTAGTAAAGAAAAAAAAGTAGTATTTATAGATTTGTGACTAAAAGATGTGTAAGAGTGATGTCCAAAGAGAAAGCACACAAAAGTATTAATCTTTTGTGTTTTTAACCTTAGAGTATCCATTCTGTGTTAATTATAATGCTAAATCCCACCACCCTGGTCTGGAAATTTCCTGCCTAATTTGTTTTAATTGCTATGTATTAAATTGCTAAGTGCTAATTGGGGAGCTTTCCATTAGTTCCTTTTAAAATTCAATTAGACAGAAATCAGTCAGTGCTTCTGGCTTTCTCTTACATTTGTTCCAGCCACCATCGGGTTCCCAAGGTCGCACACCACCATTCTGGTTATATTTTCCATCTTGTACTCACAGCTCAGGGGTCGGAATCCCTACAACGAGAGAGAACACGGGGTGGACTCAGGGTCAGTATAAATTACATCCTGTCACAAAAGCAGCGCTGGAGTGGGAAGCTCCTCTTGATTTCAAACACCTGTGGGGGCAGCTGTGCCCAAGAATTAACTTGTGACCAACTCAGAAGAAAACTTAAGAAAAAAGATTGAAAAGATTGAAGTTTAATTTTAGAAAGTTTTTAGGTTGATAAGCCCAACTATTGTGTTTCCTTGCCAAAAAAAAAAAAAAAAAAAAAAAAAAAAAAAAAAAAAGCTTCTTATAGTATGAATACAAATATTCTAGAAATTATTTTCACTGTTAATATTAAATTAAGCCCGTGAATATCACAGATAATTCAACACAGCTAATTTATTCTTGCAAAAATGAAATGGCAGTATACGTGACCATTTGACTCAATGACCATTTGCAGAGGACTGCTTTGAACACAAATTTCTACACATCATGGTCCCATTTTTGAAATTACACAATCAATCTTAGTTCAATCCTAAACGCTTAAGATGGAAAGATGTTGACCCAGTGCTTCCTGTCTCCCTTCTTCCCCATGCATCCTATTCTGATTAGAATATACAAAAACTCAGTTTTGAAGAGATGCTTAGAGCTATGTTGGAGAAGGTCTCAAGGTTACACGAGGGAAGGAAGAAATAAAAGGTTTATCTTTGAACTTGTGCAGTCTGCTCACAGCTCCACCTGTGTCCTCATGTTACTCCCAGCTGCCTAGAATTCACACCTTGTTCGCTACCCTGGGCCCTTATCTTATTTCAAAACCTAATGTCCCTATGGCCATGCTCTGCCATTGGTGGTAGCGACCAATTTGTTCACCCGTAATTCCATCAAACTTGGTAAGTGCTACTAACATATCCCCTGTGAGAAAGAGGTGAAGGGGTTAAGAAGTACACATTGATAGTTACAAAATAGTCAAAGGGAAGTGAAGTACAGCATAGGTAATAGAGTCATTAATATTTCAGAAGCTAAGTATGGTGCCAGTTTGGTACTGGAAATATCGAGGGGGAACACAATGAAAAGTATATGCTTATCTAACCACTGTACTGTATACCTGAAGCCAGTACAAAATAATATTGAAAGTGAACTGTAATTGGAAAATAAAAACTAAACTTCTAAAAAAAAAAAAAAAAAAAAAAAAAAAAAAAAAAAAAAAAAAAAAAAAACTCACAAAAAGCCTGTAACCCTCATTCCCAAAGATAAGCTTTCAAGATGAGGACACTTACAAAGGAGCAGCCTTTTGGGAATTTGTGCCCCCTGAGAAGTCCATGGAAGAGCGTTTTGAATATGAGGGCCGTTTATCCATCTTTTAGCTGTATTGGAATTTCATGTAAAAAAGTAATGTGAATTTCTAAGTAAAAGTTTCAGAAACTACCCTCCATTCCACCTTTTCCACTTTATTGAGAGAGAAAAAGATTTAAAACCAAAACAAAGAAAAGACAAACAAACCCCAGACATCTAGATAAAGAATTCTGTAGGTAGGTCATTGCTTTGAGAAAGCAAGCATCAGGAGGAAGGGGCTTTGTACCTGTCCTATTCCCAGTGCCCAGAACAGTGTTCGGGGAAAGGGCGATGGTGTTGGGAGATAACAGTGAAAGTAGCTCACACTCTTTGCTAAGGAGGAGTAAGGTCACGTATACTGCCATTTCATTTTTGCAAGAATAAATTAGCTGTGTTGAATTATCTGTTTCCTTATTTCAATGAAATAGACAAACACACACTAACTATAAAGTCCTCCTCCTTAACCACCCTGGTAATTCTCTTCCTATAGCATCCATTGAAAGTCTGTCCCAAGTAATGAGAAAGGTGTGAATTTAAAACATGTTCGCTCTAAATATGAATGAATGAAATGTCAGTTTCTGATGGAGGCAAAAAACATTTTCTTTTTTTAATTGAATTTATTGGCATGACATTGGGTAATAAAAGTATACAAGTTTGAGGGGTACAATTCTATAATACATCATCTGTATATTGTACTGTGTGCTCACCACCCCAAGTCAAGTCTCCTTTCATCACGATTTACCCCCCCTTCACCCCCTTCTTCCCCCACCACACTTGCCCTCAGATGTTCACCATACTGTCATTTGTGAGGTTTTCTCCCTCTTAATCCCTTCGTCAAAACATATTTTTTAAAAGCTGGTAATAATCTCTATCCTGAAAGATTCCATTAGTATCTATTCAACCTTAAGACTTTATAACTAATTCAAGTCATACAGATATGTTTTGTGTTGAAATTATTAACTCAGTCCTGAAAACAAAAACAAAAAAGAAACACAGCAAAAGCTTTTAAAAATGCCTATGTATCCCCTGAATATAATTCAAGGATTCAGTTCCTATAGTAAATATTTTTATCTTATCTTAAGGTTAAAAGTTATATATACATTTTTCCAGCTTTCTAGAAATAGCTTTTCCACATTAATCAAATTATTTCCTCTCCACAGACCATCACCCTTTTTCTTTTTTTAACCTTTATTTCCTCTGAGTGAGAGAAACAATAATTGTTTTTCTAGATATTTCTAGATTATTTTCCTCTGCTGTTCCAGGAACATTTTTGTTCTAATCCATTTATAGCTCTAAGGGTATCATTCATGCATTTATTCATTCACTGAAAATATTTACTGTTATTTACTAGACACTTTCCCTCACTAAACTTCCTGTTATTACAAATGGAGTAAGTGATCACAAGCAATTGCAACGAGCAATGGAAACACAATACAGTGTGCTAAGTTTATGGTAGAAGAAATTGGTAGTGACAGAGGAGGACATGCACATAGATTTAAGCAACCAGAAAAGAGAGCAGTGATTAAGCACGGGGCCTGGACCTAACAGCAGAGGTTTCGATCTTGGCTCCACTACAGCACAGCTATGTAACTTTCTGCATGTTACTGAACTTCTCCTTGTGTACTAGTATACAATGGAGGTGATGATAGCCTTGCCATTTCTCAATAAAGCTGTCATGAGGATTAAGTAAATGTATTTTGACCCATTTCCACACCAGACCAATAGCATACAATATTCATTTCAAAAGCCTACACAGTCATAATTTTTATCTTTTTACTCCTCATTACGAATATATTTGATAATGTTAAGCCCATTTGAATTGTAATAATGTGAGATTTATTAAAACTACAACAAATTTGGCCTTTTACTAAGAATTATTGTACATTGGAGAAATCTAGATGAATATATATGAACAATTTTTCACTAATGAAAAATTTGGATATTCATAATCATAATTTAATTATAACCCACATTGATTGATAAATATTTACCTAAAATATTAAAGGTAGTTCTAGAACCAGAGAAAAATCATGCTATAATTTAAAAGCATTATAAAAAATAAATAAAATATGCAGAGCTTAGGGCAGGGCAGTGCAAGGCCCACAACAATTGCAAAATAAATTTTAGCAGTCTCAGTCATTAGTAAACTGAGGCCTAAGGTAGGGGAGGGTTTTGAGAGTAAGAGATCAACTGAAGGACTTGTATGCATTCATATAAACACAACCAATGGATGCAAGACACTGGGGGGGGGGGGGGAATGAGGGCATGCGACAGGGGGCAGGGGAGGCTGGGGGAAGGTCAATGGGGGGAAAATTAGATATATATGTACTACTTTAAATAATAAAATTTTTAAAATAAATAAATAAATAAATAAAATCCTGATGTCCCCCCCCGCCCAAACATATAATCCTTATTATTCAAAAAGTGAACTATTCACATGGAGGAAATCCAAAGGCCATTATCTTGGTCTAAACAAGCTTCCGAAGAACATGGCAACCATGAAAGAGAAAAATTAAAGAATGAAAGGACTGTTGAAGTACTGAGTAAGAAATCACTAAGAAATTGTTAAAATAATAATATGAAATGATATGAAGAAATAGCAAATAAGTTTCAAAACATATAACAAAGAACTGAAATGCATAAATATATCACAATATATATTTATATAGTGTATATGAGGCCCCTAAGACCATAAGAAATGCAAAAAATTCACTGTTAATAACTCATTCTCAAATTTCCTTCCAAAAAAATCAAATTGCCCCCTGTGGGGTATGGGCCCCATATTGGGAACTACTGATATAGGTCTTTATTTCTAGAAAAATTTAGAAGGAAGGTCACCAAAGGGAAGGCTAAATGTTGACTCAGTTAAGGTGTCCAGAGAAAGAGATGATCACCATCTACATTTAAAAAATATGTTTTTATTGATTTCAGAGAGGAAGGGAGGAGAGAGACAGAAATATCAATGATGAGAGAGATTCATTGATTGGCTGCCTCCTGTACTCCCCCTACTGGGGATCAAGCCTGCAACCTAAGCATGTGCCCTGACTGGAATCAAACCTTGACTTCATGGGTTGATGCTCAATCACTGAGCCACAGCAGCCGGGTCACTGTCTACATTTTTTAAAAGGTCAGTGTTTTCAACAAAAGACAGCAAAACTTACAATCAGATAATCCCAATACTTTTCCTCCTGATAAAAAATTGTTTTAAAAATACTTGAATTTAGCCAAAACCGGTTTGGTTCTGTGGTAGAGCCCCTTCCTGGCTGACTGCAATCAAATATCACCTACAAATACTTCTCCATGGAAGTATTTGTAGGTGATATTTTTCTATGAAAGTTTTCTCAGAAACTTATAATGACCTTATGACTGTTAAAGATACATGATTATTACCCTCCTGATTTTACTTTTTACTAATAAAATAGTTTAACCAAAATATAAAACGTGAGACTAGAGGTGTGAATAGAGAATTTTATATTCTCAATGTTTTTCAATGCCTATAAAATACCAATATCACAACAGTTTGTTAAGCTCTCTTTAGAGGAATTATTTTTCATTAAATTATTTAAGCATTAGCATCTTCAAACTCCTCAGAATATGCAGCATTTGGAAACTCACATGAATTAAATAAGTTAGAGTTTAAGAGAACAAATCCACCAGCAAGTTGCTAAGGAGCATCCACTGTGCCGAGCTCTGAATGAGGAGTGAGTATGAAAGAATATTCACCTTGGTCTCTGCCCTAAATTGTGAGTCCACATATTTCTAAAAATGAGGAACTCTCTCCATTATTCTACAATGTATTTTAAACCAAGCAATCATAAACACAACAGAACCTTTGGATACTCTGAGTGGGAAGATTCATGTTCTGACAAGGAAGGAAAGACTATAAAAAGCATCCACGTCAGTTTAATAAATAGTGGCATTGCAGGGCCTGGCAAATGATGAAGACATGGCTTTTCTTGGACCCAGTCCCGAAAAGGTGGACCATGGAGAAAGAAAAATGACCATGTTTCCTTTCCAGTGCCTGTCTGGGTCGTTATCAGTACTCAGTTGGGATTGGCTGGACCTTCCCCATAAGTTGTAATGAGAACCAGACCTCCTGGGACCCACTTGATACTTAAAGGAACTCAAAACAAAGGCCTGAAAACAGCCAGTGAGAGTAGGCGTGAGCTTGTGAATTTAGCAGAGAAATCCATCCATGTGTAAGCTGCTTCTTTCAGCAATTATATTCTCTTCCTTGCTTTGGCTTTCAAACTTTGGCCAATGTACGTTTGCATGTGTGGCCAAGAAAGACCATCCCCCTTCCTGACTGTCTGCGATCATGATTAACAAGTAAAGTGCCATTTTCTTTTCTTCTTTTAAGAAAGACACTCTTAGCTAAGATGGTTCTACTTAACATTGGTTTGACTTCCAAAATATACCTAGCACTTTAACTTCGAATAATTTGTAGGCATTACCTTGCTGCTGCGCTCAATCCCAACATAATCTGCCTCTTCTGGTATCGTCACCAAGAGCTCCGCTTCATAGGCTCCTTCACCTTCATTTCTTGCATTGATGATGAGCATAAGGTGATTTTCATCTCCAATGATGACCTGATGCTTATCTCTAGAAATGCAGTTTAACAGGGATCGTTAGATACTCGCTGGATTCATGGGTATTTTAGTTAAGGACTTACCTTTCCTTACCTAAGGAAAGGACGAAAGATGTGGAAATGCAAGACTGAGGCAAAAAGAAGATGGATGGCCATGAAGATGTGTTGAGAAGAATCAAGAGAACCAAGTCTGGCTGGGAAGGACCGGAAAACATCCAATGATGTGCTGGTCAATGGTTAACAACCAGGTCTCAAAAAGCACACCCCACACCATTCGCAACATTTGCTGATTCCAGTGGTATGAATCCTCCCACTATAGTCAATGTCAAGCTACTGACATACCTAATAATCTGCCAGCAAAAATTCTAGTAAATTTAACTATTGCTCAGAAGCCAGAATGAGCAGCTTTCACACATCCCTGAAAACAACCAGCAGGAAGTAAGATGAGCCGTGGGAGGTGGGAGGAAGAGAGAGACACAGTTTAAAAACTCTGAGTGGGAGACGTGCAATGCAAAATGTACAAGGAGAGGGAAGAAAGTAGCAGATAAAAGATCACAAGTGACTGATTAAGACTGTGAAGTATTTTGAAGAAATGTAATTCACTCCAAACTTCAAATTGAACCACTTCACTTTTGACCCTGGCTAACTTGTGAAGTTTGGAAAAAGTCTCCTTGAGAGATATCAAGTGGATTCCAAACATTGGCAGTGAGACAGGCCCTGGGGGGTGGGGTGTCAGGTGAAGGAGCATGCATCTGTTTTGTCCCATCATAGATAGCTCACATCTTCATTTCATTTCTTTACATATTATAATGTAACACCATTATGGGATGGTGACTCGCCACTATAGACAACTGGGAAGTCCCCTGATTCCGATAGGATTTTGTGACACCTTCTGCTTTACTCCATAGAGTGCCATTCCATTTCCCCAGCAAATTAAAGTTGGTTTGTGTTGACAGTTTTGAGGATGCCTTTGAGTCATGGGGTGTGCATACGAAGTTTTGGCTAAGGTGGAACCAGCCTGTCTCTGAATTCTTTACCCACAGAACGGAGACAAGTAAATACAACCTGACTCACCCCATATATGAATTTACTTTGAACAAAAACTTCTGATTAAAGATGAAACAGCTCAGGCAAAACCTTAGGGTGGTCACTTGACATCAACGATGAAGAACTGACCCAAACCACAGGCTAACGCAAAGTGTAGCCACGCTCAAGACTTCCACGCAGTGTATTTTTTGTAAGAGTTGAAAGTGTATACTTTCTCCAGAAAAGCTTTAAATAAACACCTGTATTCCATTAGGTAAATGTACAAGTTTATTTATTTAAACTTACGGTCTGGCTGACAGCTTCAAGTCAGGAACGCACATGTTGTCTTCTCCACAGTCCACCAGGATGTGAGCCTGTGTTGTGCAAAGAACAAATCAGAAATAATCTGGAAAAACTGGAATCACATCCTTTTTCTTGAAAATTATGAACCATTCCATAAACTAAAGCAAAGCTCTCGTTTCACTAGGCATGATTCTACCCAGCTAGAAGCCCCACGTTCAGCAGTGACCTCTCAGTAGAGGCCAGTTTACATAACAGCCCGATTCCAACTCATTCTGAAATGTCTGTAAAGAATGTGAGTCTGGCAATGTTTTGAGAATTACAGACTGCATTGCTTCCATTACAGCCACATTTTGAACATATTAAATCTTGGTTGCACAAGGGGATGGGCTTCTGAAAACACAATGATGCTGTGTTTCAGGAAACCTGTTAGAAAAATCTCCCAAATGTTACATATTTGTGCGCAGGAATGAGACAAAAGGGGCTACGTTCCATCTTAAGGTCACCGGAGCTGTGCCCAGGGTCTGACTGAGAATACGAAGACCATCAAGGACCTACCTGTTCAGTAACAACATTTTCCCTGTAGTGGTTCAACATTGGTTTCACTTCCAGGCCTTCTTTAAAGGTGGACTCATCCAAACTGTAATTCAAACTAATGTTGATTGGAGATAATTTATCTCGAAATTCAGTTTCATCCTGGGAAAAATAATGACAGAGTCAAGGAAGGCTCTGTGAATCAGCTGCAGGATGTTAGTCTGTGAAAAGCACTGGATTTAGCGAAAGTGAGTAATGAAGTAATCATCACCATCACGAGCTTAAGCACTCACTGACTATTCATGCAGCTTAATTAATACATGTTCAGAGATGATTCATTTAGAGCTGTGGTTTCATTGAAATATACTCTTCTAGAGGTAAGCTTCAAGGACTCCAGATCTTCAAAACTCACATAGGTTGGCTAAATTGCAAAGTTAAAAAATTGTCAACACAAAACCAATCTATATATGTAATACAAATTTAAAGTTTCACTAATTGGGTTTTATATTTCCATGAGGTTGGCACAATCTATGAGTTCTGTTGGGCTCACAGGAAGAAAAAATCTTGATTCTCTTCCTCTCTTATAATCTCTCTAAGCCCTCACTTGTATGAACTTCAAAACACTTTCAGCACATTTATAGTACCTTCAGAAAAAGAAACAGAATGCCCTCGAGGTGAAGAAGTGAGTGAGTGAGAGAAGTGAGTGAGCACCAAGCCTGAACGCACGGAACACCTTACTCCATGTGGTGAACATCCCACCCTTCAATTGTGTACCAGTCAAGGTCATAATGAGACTCCAGGGTCACGTGCCCTGCTTTCCAGACATGTTTGTAAACTTTGCCTTCACCATATTTCCCCTCACTAAGTCCATTAAAGGAGGAGATGAAATAAGAAAGAATAATAACCTCACAACTGGTGAGAAGATGAAATAAGTGTATGATAAATATTTTGGCTTTGTTAATTTCACAGTAGGTTTGGAGTTATTGGTAAAAGTCCACTGCTTTAAAAATATAATTATAAATGACTTTTAATAAAGGCTTTGAATGCCTAAATGTTTTTCCTGAGTTGGCTCTTAAATGCATATTGATAAAATCTGGCTAAACATAGTCATGTAGGAGAAAAATTCAAATAAATTATGTTATTTTGCGGGGGAGGCAGTTACAAATGAAAACCACCTGAGTTAGTGCTATTATCAAGATTGTGAGCAAAACAAAAAGAAACCATGAGAATTAATAGCAACATATCATTGGGTTAGTCAGTGGAAGGAAGTGAGCCTCAAGACCGGAGAGTACAGCCTTAAAATAAAGTTTCCTCCAATAAAATGAAAATGATGTGGACAAGGTTGATGGTTAAATGGAAAAAAAAAAGTGGTTGGAATGTGTTCTGAAGGTGAGAGACCAGAAAGGTGATTCTGGAACACTTACTCGCAGGTAAACCACAAAGTCCTGGCACTGGCGGGATTTCTGCTGCTTTATCATGAGAGGGAAGATGAAATGTGACTGATGGTTGTCAAGGAAGAGTGTGCGTTTAATGGCGCCTTTTTGCTTCAGGGAATCTAACTGCACCTCGGCAGTCAGGCCTTCAGGAAAGAAACAAAGTAAGTATAATCAGGAAAGGAAAAGTATTCAGTGAATGTAGTGCTTTAGCAGAGGTCTGAATTCCTAGTTCAACTTGCTTACTTAGAAAAAATTTCTTTTTTCATAATTGGATAATTGGGATCAAAAACAATAGAGGAGCTGAGAAAAAATTTAGGAAATACTCCCCAAGCAAAAAACAAACAAACAAACAAACAAACAAAAACCTTTATTTTTTACATAAATCATGTTTTTTTCATGAGGTTGGCAGAATCTATGAGTTCTCTTAGGCTCATAGGAAGAAAACATCTTATCATCTCTATAAGCCTCACTTGCATGAATTTCAAAACACCTTCAGCACATTTAAAGTTCCTTCAGAAAAAGAAATAGAACTTCCACGAGGTGAGGAAATGGGTGAGCAACATCATCCCTGAGCCCAGGGAACACCCCCAGACAATTATTTCGTTTTTCTAGATAATATTAATACCTATTATTTGAGTAATATTTATAAAGAAGGTTTCATATATATATACACTAGGAGTCTTGGTATTAACAAAGGGCTCATTAAAAGTTCTATGCGGTCTGCACAGAGAAATGCTTATGGTTGACTTTTCTTAGTATACTATGGAAATAGAAAAAAGAAAACACTCTCACCTATTGTGTTTGGAATGCTCTGGCCTTCTATAGATGCACATACTCTTAAGGAAAAGCTATGGAAAATAATAGTCAATTATTTATTGGTTAATAAAGTTTTGAATCTGAAGTAGAACTCTCCACTTAGCTCACCCTAGATAGATGAATACACTATTTTTCCTCTATACTTCACTTATTATACACATACAACTAAAAAATAAATATGCATTTAGAACATTCACATATCCTACCAGTTGGCCTCCACATTAATATAATTAAGACTGGTGAGGTTATCTGATTTAATCAATGGATTGTTTAATCAACTGCTTGCTGCCTGTATTCAATAAATGAGTATCTCCATGTGCCAGAGAGTGAAGAATTGAGCAGTACATCGGGGCAACAGCTAGTGGTAGAGCCTGGAGATGAGCAAGACCATGACCCCATTGAAGAACTTGAAGAAATGTGGCATTTCTGAAGACATTGGTGCATTAGAGCAAGATGGGAAAGATTGGGAAGGAACAAGTCTCCGAAATTCATGTTAAAGAACTTGGATTTAATCCTAAAAGGTTAACCCACACCTCCACTCTGCTTGGAAGAAGAGGAAAATGCAGTGGTAACTTGCTGGGGGTGGGGCACAATTTGAGGCAGATACACTAGGAGAGGGAATGGAGAGAGAAAGAACATAATGAGTATAGAGCGGCTGGGTCAGGGTAGATAGATACAATTATATGGCATATAAAGATGCTAAAAAGAGGGTATATGTGCAAAAGAGACACTTTGTAGTTTTTCCTGAACATAATCCAGAGAGGTGTCTGCCACGGTTTGTAGGGTGACCTGCATGTAGGCCTGTTCTGTGGCTGTGGAAGGAAAAGGAAGCAGCCGGTGGACTCTGCCTGCCTTGGCTGAATGGGCTCACCTCCCTCCTGACAAATGTCAAGCCCTGACAGCCAGGCTCTGAGAGGGGCTTTTTCACATTTCTAAGAAAGTGAAAATATAAGAAAATACTTAAGTATGATTTAATGACAGCTCTAACATTTTTGCTAGTAAAATACATAGTATAATTAGAATATTTCTGCAGAACCCAAAAGGAATAAATAATCCCTAATCATACTTTAATTATGTGTCAACTTCCTGTGTCAAACCTAATGAAAATGTGTCACATCTGGGATTCATCTATCTCCTGTGACCTCAGTCAATGTTTCCCTTCAGGGTAAATAATTTGCCATATGCCATTAAGCCAAGAGTTTCCTGAGATTTCTCCATTATTACAGCATTTTCACCACTTCCCCAGAGAAATAACAAATTCCAGCCCACTTCTACTTCAGTTAGATATATTCAGGGAAGAGGAATAGTTAATTGCATCTTCAAATTTCTTAGCAGGTCTGCCTTTCAAAATTGGAACATCTTTCTGTGTCTAACATTTTTGGAAGTCTTGGTTATCAAAGAAAGCTGCAAACTATTATTCATTAGAGGCCTGGTGCATGAAAGTCGTGCACTCAGGGGGGTGTCTCTCAGCCTAGTCCGTGCCTTCTAGCAGTCCAGGAGCCCTTGGGGGAAGTCTGACTGCTGGCTTTGGCCTGCTCCCCACTGCACATGCTTAGTGCTGCCATGGAGGCAAGAGAGTCTCCCACCACCGCTGCTACACTCACCAGCCGTGACCCCGGCTTCTGGCTAAGCAACACTCCCACTGTGGGAGCGCAGTGACCACCAAGGGGCAGCTCCTGCATTGAGCATCTACCCCCTGGTGGCCAGTGTGCATCATAGCAATGAGTGGTTCCATTGTTCAGTCAATTTGCATATTATCCTTTTATTATATAAGAATATTAATTGAGTTAAAAATTTCAAACTAAGATTTATGGTCATAGTCAATATGGTGCATTATTGCTTGAATAGGTCCGATGGGAACAAAAAACAACAACAAGTCAACTTAGCACTCTCATTACATAAATTCAAAATGAAACTATTTTTGTGCTTCCGATATATCAGAGGCAAGATGATCCTCTACAAATCTTCTGATACTAGTCTTAACCCAATGCAGTATGGTTGAAAATGCTCTGTGATACAACAGTGCCAATAGCCATGGGTGATGGGGAAAGAATGAGATAAATGTGGAACAGGATTTGAATAGCAATTCATTTTTCACTTTAACCAATTCAATCCTATTTCATTGATAGCAAACTTAAGATTTTACATAAAGTTAAGCATATTTAAAGTTCTTTTCAGATTTGAAAAGTGAATAGTTATAAACATTTACATTTATAATATGAAACATTTTTACTAAATAGTTTTAACTTTTCTGATTTGTTAACAATTAAGATTGAGCTGGCTTTATGTTTTTATTTATAATTTAGAAATTCTAGTAGCAGATACTTTATAAAACTACCCAGCTGTTTGAAAGACACAGAAATTCAAATCAATGGAAGTGATGAACTATATCTGAGTTAGTTTACTTAATAGTTTCAGATGTGCAATACAAGGTTATATTAAATACATACCAAAGTTATGGAAAAGAAAATCAATAAATGTTTTTCAATAATTTTAGAAAGACTGAGCTAAATTCTTAGAACAAATTTAAAAGGTATCAGAGAAACACATTCTAGACTGAACCAGTTATTAACTTTTCATCTTTTCATGCTCTGAGCCACTATTCAACATTCTAAATATGAGGATGAAACATCTTTCAGAAAATGTATAGAATAGAATAAAATAAATAATTATATAAAGGCATATATTTTATATTTGCCCACATAACAAATTGCATTTTATCTTAATAATAATTTAATGCAACAGGAAAGTGGTTCATGAAAAGACATTTTCTTGTTACAGAATAATGTTCTTTCCATAAAACCAAATAGATCTCAAAATCTGTTAAAGCTACTTAAATTTTATAAAAATATTGAAAACCCGCCGAGACCAGTTTGGCTCAGTGGATAGAGCGTCCACCTGCGGACTGAAAGTGCCCGGGTTCGATTCCAGTCAAGGGCATGTACCTTGATTGTGGGCACATCCCCAGTAGGGGGTGGTGCAAGAGGCAGCTGATCGGTGATTCTCTCTCATCGATGTTTCTAACTCTATCCCTCTCTGTAAAAAATCAATAAAATTATTTTTAAAAAATATATTGAAAACCCCTTTGAAAAAATTATCTCGTTTGGAAACACACACACACACACACACACACACACACACACACAAAAAAAAAAAAAAAAAAAAAAAAAAAAAAAAAAAAAAAAAAAAAAAAAAAAACCACACAAAACACTTTATATCAGAGTGTGCCACACAGATATGCTTAAAAATTCAGCCTATATAGTCCATTCAGCTATGAATGTATATACCCAGGACTATTAAGGGAAATACTGAATTTCTAATACTCATGCCTATGTAGCTGGCACAGCTCATTTCATGCTTATTTAATCATTACAGGCTAAGGACTAGCAGGAGAATTATGGTGCCTGTGCCTGGGCCATACAGAGCACAGCTTGTCCAAGTTCCTTCACATATTTTCTCAGATCAGGTTTTCATTATATTTTATGGTTTGAAACCCTTTTAAAATGTGCTCTGGGCATTTCCCAGCTACTTTCTAAAGCTGATTAAGGAGTGGACAGGCCTCCAAGAATGGGGAGCTCCCAGCAAAGGATGTTTTTCAAAAAATCCTTCAGGGCCCTCCTCACCCCCACCCTCCACCCTCAAAGGCTTGACTTCCGAATGAATTCCTACCCAAAGGCCATCCATCACCAGCACGCCAAAGTTGGCTGGAAATACTGTAACTTCTTTGGATCAAGACTGCCTTCTGACATTCTTAGGAGCCAAACGTACTGAGTTAGACCAAATCTCTGGAAAAGGAGGGCAAATCTCAATCACACCAAGTATCAGTTGAGTTTTCAGAGGATGTACCTTGCTGGCATTGCCCAGTAGGACAGACCTTGACCCTCGAGAACCTACATATTACAAACAAAGCGGCATTTTCTCCGGCTGTGCGACAATCAAGTTCCATTTTGTAGTCCCTGTGGATAGCTGGATAACTGGCAAGATTCAAAAATAGCACTTTCAGAAGTTGGATAAGCCATAATCTATATGGCCCAGACACAGGAACCACAATTTTCCTGCTGTTCCTGATGATGAGATCTTGGCCACAAAAAAATATAGTTTAGGACACAAAAATCACTGTTTTTATAATGTTTACCTTCTGTCTAATGGTACATGATAAATTAGAAGACTGACATCTGTTTTTAGCATAAGAAACCAAGTAATTTAACCCGAGCTTGGCTTTTAAAGGACATTATATATGTCTGAAAGGTGGTATCCATACTATATGCAAATCTAAAAGCTGAGGTATTTTATTATCTTTTCAGTTTGGTTAATGTTTCTTTTTAAATGCCAAGAATCTGAAAGAGCTCTCCAAGATTTGTTTCTTTAGGATCATTCCCAAATGTTTTTCTACTGCTGACCTTGGAATGAGGTGGGGATCAGGGTTGCTCACCCCCATGCAGCTTAACTTTTGATTCTACAATTGGCCCTTCACATCTGCAGATTCAACCAACCCCTTACGGAAACTGTTTTAGATCCGTAGTTGGGAATCTGTGGTTGGGGATGCATTATCGTGGGTAGCTGAATCTGAAGATGTGAAACCTGCAGCTATAAAAGGCCAACTGTATTTATTTAAAACAAATCTGCTTATAAGTGGACCTGCACAGTTCACACCTGTACTTCTCACCGCACCTGGAGCCTGTAGGCTGGAAAAGTCACCTTTAGGTGGTAAACTATCAGCAAAGGATCGGGGCCATGTGATAGATCTCGGCTTTTGTTTTAAAGACTTACTGCTCGCTACTCCTATTTGGTGCACAGACCTGCAGCATCAGCACCTCCTGGAGTTTTGTTTTTAAGAAATGCAGATTCTCAGGCCTGCCCAGATGAATGGATGGATCCAGAAGCTGCACCTTCACAAAATCCATCAATCCAATCTAATTCCTTCACAAAATCCCTGTGTGATTTGAATGGACCAACTCACCAGGCCACAGAAGTCATAAACTCTGGAATCTGGCAAGTTTTATTTTCCAGGTTGATTATCACTGGGTGCAACAGGAGCTGGGCATCCACTGTCACCACTGGTCTCGCTCTGCAGAGAGGAAACACAAGATGTAAACGAGCCCCAGGAGCCATTGGCAGAAGCCACCCCACTTCTAGAGGCCACCGCCAACACCCCTCCTTTGTGTCTAGAATTGTCTCACTGCTACAGTAGGTGGGCACCAGACTCAACTAATGGCACCCGGGAGCTGGCGGACACGAATAAAGGGTGTCCTGGCCCGGCAAGGAAAACTGCCCTCCATACCTGCCCAGTGGTCAGCAAACTCATTAGTCAACAGAGCCAAATATCAACAGCACAAGGATTGAAATTTCTTTTGAGAGCCAAATTTTTTAAACTTAAACTTCTTCTAACGCCACTTCTTCAAAATAGACTCGCCCAGGCCATGGTATTTTGTGGAAGAGCCACACTCAAGGGGCCAAAGAGCCACATGTGGCTCGCGAGCCGCTGTTTGCCAACCACAGGTTTATGGAGTGGGTTCCTAGCATTTTGGCAAGGTTGTTATGAAATACTGCTCTGGCATCTGCCACTATATCTATACCCACCTTACTGGCTGATTATTTTTTAGTTTGATCAAAGCATTTTCTAGCCATGCTTTACAAATTTAACTTCATATAGGACAGTGGTTCTCCTGACTGTATAATATAAGCATCCAGGAGCTTTCAAACAGGTAATATGCCCCACCCTCTGGGGCCCCCACTCCCCCCCCCCGCCCCCCCCCCCCACACACACAGGCAAATCTCTAGGGGCACTGGTCACTGGGTCAGGATCAGGCACTAGAAGGTTAAAAAACTTTCCAGATGATTCTATTGTGCTGCCAAGTTCGAGGAGAGGGGCTAATGTAAACTCAATTAAAGTCATAACCAGATGAGAATAAAAGTCACAGGGAAAGGGGACAGGACAATTTTTAAACCTTGGTTCCATGTCTTCAGATGACATGAACTGCTGCTGTATCACATGCGTTTTTCTCAGGTTGGAGGCTGTGCCTTGGGCAGAGTATTGTTTAAGATGCTACTTTAAACAATTTCAGGATTACAATGATGGGGTGCACTGGAATTTTCCTAAACTCTGTTACCTTATTTATCTGTACTCTGTTACATAATTTTGCTTTCAATATATTTTTGGTCTTTTTTTGTTAATCTTCACATAAAGATATTTTTTTTCCATTGCTTTTTCAGAGAGAGTGGAAGCCAAAGAGGAATGGAAGGAGAGAGAGAGAAACATCAATGTGAGATTGACACATTGCTTGGTTGCCTCCCACACACACCCCAACCAGAAGTTTGGGAGTGAACCTGAAACCCAGACATGTGCCCTTGGCTAGGAATTGAACCCACTACCCTTTGGTGTGAGAGCTGATGCTTTAACCACTGAGAAACACCAGCCAGGGCTGTTTTTAATATTGTGTTGTGAGCTCCAGTTCTTGGGAAAGTAGATGATAAGACAGGATGAGACATGCAAGACATTTAGGAGGCAAACATTATGAGAAAAAAATGGGAGAGAGAGGAGGAGACTGGGAGCCAGTGGCCAGACTCTGATGCGGGCTGATCCCTGTGAAGAAGCGAGGGAAGAAGGGGTATCCAAGAAAGGAGTTCCAGCCAGGGCACCAGGAGCTAGCGCTGCGGTTAGAGGAGCTCATGTCTCTCAGGGAGAGGCCTGCGTTTCTATCCCTGCTGTGTTCATTGATTGGCTTGAGGCAGCTCATGGAACGCCTGACCTTGGCGAATGTGGTGGTGGATTCGGAGCACAGCGCCTGCCTGCCAGTCAGTTTCTCTCCATAAGCTCTGTGGAGTGCTTCCTCGTGGCCACAACAAACACAGCCTCATCCTCTGGTGCTCTGAGCAGTTCACTCATCTGATTATCCGTAACCTGAAGTGGGGAGTGGTTGGCATAAACTGGCCCTGAGGGTGCTGGGACTGATGAAAATCTTGCCTGCAGAGGAAACCTACCCTTAGACTCTCTAGGAATTGAGCTAGGTTAGCAGTATGTGCCTAGGACAGCCGGAGCAGCTCTCTGCCTCTGTCTTTGATATCCTGACCTAGTGTCTCCTATTCCCATATACTTTATGTTTTAAGAAGAAAAAGAATCTAAAAATGTTGAGCACCAATTGTCTTCTAGTTACTATTCTTGTACTTTGCATGCAGTTTCCCAATTAATGCTTTTGACAAAAATAGACTTATAAAGTAAAGATTGTTATTCCCATTTTATGGATGAAAAATGAGAGGCTCAGAAAGATGAGAACTTGGCCAATATTACAAATTGTGAGTGTGTGGGAATGACCAGGTTTTTGAAGCCTGACCGATTGGTCACATTTGAACTGATGTTCAATGCTTGCTATTGGAGACTACGAATTCCTGATATTTTCTATTCCCTAATTTAGTGTCCTCACTTTTCTTTAGAGGACATAGTTACATTCTCCCACCACACATTCCTTTTCTATCAGCACATTTTAATGCATTTATAAAGCTAAGGGACGCATGTAAATACAGTAACAACAAAATATGTTCCACTTCGTAAGTGCTACTAAGATTCTTATCTTCTTATATTTTTAAATCCTCGCCTTAGGATAGGTTTCCATTGATTTGAGAGAGAGAGGAAGAAGAAACATCAACATCAATGCGAGAAAGAAACATTGATTGGTTGCCTCCCCTGAGTACTCTGATGGGTGATTGAACCCACAACCCAGGCATGTGTCCTGACCAGGAATCGAACCTGACATCTTTTGATGTATGTGCAATGTTCCAACCAACTGAGCAATACCAGCCAGGACTCATATACTAATATTATGTTAGTAAGGCCTGAAGTCTTGTCATGAAGTATGAGAATAAAAAGGTAGTAGGATAAATGAACAAAAAAAATGAGAGCAAAAATGTCTCCGAATTTTAAATAGAGCATCTAAATGTTCTCCAAAATAAATAGTTGGGATACACTCTTTAATACAAAACCAATAACATAAAGGAAGTGCATTTGAAACAATTAGAAAAACATCCTTTAGTAGGTGAAAAAGAAAATGTGGAGTATATACACTGAGTGGCCAGATTATTATGCCCACCCCATCAGTACTTCATTGGGCCACCTTTTGCCTTCAATACTGTGATTCTTCTTGGCATTGACTCCACGAGCTGTTGAAAGGCAATGTGAGGAATCTGACACCATGCCTGATGAATAGCACTGTCCAGATCTGTGAGATTTGACGGTTGTGGAACCAGCTGCCTGATAGCTCTTTTAACTTTGTCCCACAAATGCTCAATTGGATTGAGGTCTGGTGATTGTGGGAGCCACCTAAGCAAGGTAAAGTCTCCCTCATGGTCTTGAAACCACTCCTGCACAATACGAGCACCGTGGCATGGCACAATGTCTTGTTGGAAGAAGCCATCTTTATTGGGATGCGCCATCAACATGATAGGATAAACTTGGTCAGCAATGATACTTGGGTATATTGTGCTATTCAGACATTGTTCTACATGAATTAAAGGGCCCAGATCATGCCAGGAAAACATGACCCAAACCATAACACTGCCCTCACCAGCTTGAAGGGTTGTAGTCATGCATGTGGGAGTGCATGCTTTCATGCTGTTTCTGCCAGATTCTCACTCTGCCATTTGGAAACGTGATTCATTGGACCACATGACTTTTTTCCAATGCTCAACTGTCCAATCCTTATATTCCTGTGCAAATGGAGATGTTTTATCTTGGTAACTACAGACAGCAAAGGTGTTCAAACAGGCCTTCTGCTTTTATATCTCATAAGATGCAGTGTACAGCTAATTTTCCTACAAATGTCAGGTGGTCATAATAATCTGGCCACTCAGTGTAAACAATAAAATATTATTCAGCCATAAAAAGAGAAATATTGCCATTGCAACAACATGGAAGGACCTTGAATGCATTATGATAAGTGAAAAAAAAATTCAGATTTAGAAAAATACCATATGAGTTCATTAACATAAGGAATCTATGAAAAAAAATAAGAAAAAACAAAAAACGAACATAGATACAGAGAACAGATAGATGGTTGCCAGAGGTACCAAGGGTTGTGTGGGGCAGGAAAAAATAGGTAAAGGTGGTCAAAAGTACAGACTTCCAGTTATAAGATTAAATAAATTGGCAATGTACAGTGACTATAGTTAATAATACTATCATATCACCAAATACATACCTATAAACAGCTACTTTTCCTGTTCCGAATGCACCCACAATTAAATCTAAAAGACAAAAACACATGCACAAATTTTAGAGAAACAATTAATCTAAGCTTATCAAAATAAATAGCATTCTGAAATGCTGATTGTAAGATGTAGAGCATCCTGAAATGCTGATTGTAAGATGATAGCCATAGAAATAAGCATAGCAAATTCTAGAAAGCTGGCCTTCCTCATCACATTTTAGAAAGGATATTGGAACTTCACTGTAATTGTTCAATATGACACATGAGCCAGTAGATTTCAAATCCTTCTGTATTCAGGAAGGTCAGCTTTCTAGAAATGCTTAAGAAACTCATAACACCACTTCTCCTATCCTCCAGACTTAAGGCACATATCCTTAAGGAGAGCAAAAGGGGAACAGCATGCATACAGTGCCTACTGCGTACCAACCTCTTAAGTAGGGTGTTCCTAAAAAGTGTATACACACATTGAATAATTATCAAGGCAGTGCTTATTAAAATATATTTCATTTTCAAAATTGAGCTATCAGCTGTTATATTTGGGAGGACACCTTGTATATTGTTTTATTATTCCCCTATATAGCAACAACCCTGTGAGGTAAGTAGTATTACCAATGAAGTGGACATTTTGACTGTAATCTTGACACAACCATTTGCTCTTTACAAATATACACTTTTGGTAAAGTGATCAGTAGTATATAAGACAATTAGCATATCGTTATAATGATCTCAAATAATGACAACAATGATAATAACACATATTGAATACCTACTATAAGCTAGAAAATTTTCCAAAATATTTACCCTGATTCCTAGAAAGAAGTTATGAGTCTCTATTATTAGCACAACTTTGCCAAAGAGTACCTTGGAGCTTAAGGGGGCTCACCTATAAGCTCACACAGCACTGGCAGAGGTAGAGCTGGGGGACAGCAGTCCTAGATGATTTGAGGGGCAATGCTCAGTGATCTCAGCGATTGGCTAATAAACAGGCACAATCCTATTTTTCTTATTCTAATTTATAATGGTTATTCTTGGTGGATATAGTCAAACAAAATGAGAATGGCTAATTGTGAAGAATAAAGTTTAAATGTAGAGGTGAGAACTGGATGTGGTAGAAATAGTGGCCGTAGGAGAAAACTTACAAAAGTAAACACTATAATTGGTTAATTCTAGTAAAAATGAAAAAAAAAGAAGAGGGGAACTATATTTGACCACTGCATATGGAAAAGCAATCAAGGAATTAAAATCGGATTGATGGAGTTTGCACAGGAAAATGATTTGTAGTCATATTCCCTCAACACTCATTTTTCCGGAGCATAGAATGGTGTCAGACTCAAGCAACTATGATTCTCTTCTGGATGCTTTCCTTGGCTGTGCCAACATGGATAGGAATGGCTCCACCCTATGAGGCAAATAGTATTACCAATGAAGTGGGACATTACTTCTTTACCCCTCAGGAGGGATGACTCTGAGCATGTACTTCCCTGTCTCCCAGATTTCCCCAGCCCTAGTTGCCTACAGTGTCAACATTTTTATAATAATCTCTTATTATATCCTTCCTTCCCATGTCTCTCTTTGCTACTCCCTTAGCAATGTTTTCTTTGGATTATTTCTCAAATTGTTTCTTTTTAATCCTTGTCTTAAAGTCTACTCTGGAAGACGCCAACCTAAGACAATAATCCTTGTTTAAAATGTTGTGTGTGTTGTTGTTTTTAATGGCCTTGAATATCTTCAGGATTAAAACCATGGTCAGAATGTCTCTTGTTTTATCAACACAGAACCAATTCAGATAATAGCCCAAAACTATATTCCAAATCTCCATATTTCAAGAGACATGGGTGCTAATGTTCAAATAAGTCAAATTAAGGTGATCTAAGAACCTCTGTATCTGTGAGATTAAAGAGAGTATTGGGAAAAGGGCTACAACTTGCCCAACTAGAGTTTATGGAATAAAATATTCTTTCCAAAGGGTTCAAATCTTTGAAGCCAAAGTCAAAGTTTCTAAGTCTACAATTTTTAAAAATCATAGAACTGCAACATTTTCAAAATTTTCTGTTATATTCATTTCTTCCAGTGTGGCAGTGCCTTTCTCTTTACTATGTCAGAGAAACAAGAGCTACTGTCTTGAAGAAATCTGAACTGTTCTTCCTGTGTGATCATGGGCTCCAATATTTAGACAAGTGCAACACAGGTGGCCCTTGGCCGGATCCATATCTGTTGACATGGTACCAGACAGGAGAGCTCCATTATGGAAACTCATCAAGAGGAACTATGTGCTTTACTTTTGGTTCCAAATAAATATATACCAAAATTAGACATTTCATAAATAGCATGAATTATAAGAACGGACTCTCTGGAAAAGGCGAAGAAAACAGCACCATAAGCTCATCCAAGGAAGGACTATTTCTTCAGGCTTGCATATCGCAAAGTCTTTATAGAATGGTATGGGTTGAAATAAAATGATCTTTGCATCCACAGTACCAGTTACAGAGCCAAATTCAGAGCAGGGGTTTATAAATTTCTATGAAATAGGGGGATAAGTAGTAATGATATACTATCCTAAAGATGAGAAAGATGAAGGAATAAGAGAGTTATTAAGACAGGCTAATGTAAACTATAGCTAAATTTTGTTGTATTTTCGCATGTGCACTTGTAGGTATCAGGGAACACACACACACACACACACACACACACACACACACACGGTCCAAATTCTAGAAAATTCTAGAAAGTAATATAGTGGCTGCATCATGATTAGATTGTCACTGTAGATGAGAAGTTGACAAACACCCTCCTAATAGTCATGAGCAAGAGGCCTTTTTGTTAAGGAATGTTGGTTCCAGTGCCTTAGGGTGGGAATTTTCCTACTCTGGAAAAATAAAATAACTGGCAAAATAGGCCACAATTTTCTTCATGAGAATGTGGCCACGGTCATTACTAGACCAAGAAAACAATTATCTACCACAAAAGTATGTTTGTCTTTTGAGACACCACCTTGGTATTGTGCCTGCTGGAAAAGGCTAGAAGCGTTTATGCTCAGAACCTTAAAGTTCTCAGATCTCCCAAGGGGAGGAGGATTGATCTGCTGATCTGTGTTCATCACCAATTTGTCCTTCCCAAGTAGGTGATTTGTTTAGATAAGTATTATGTAGTTTCTGTATATATGTATTTAATGTGCTATATGTTTGTTCCATATACATATATTTATATTTGTGTATATAAACAGGGTGGGGCAAAAATAGGTTTATAGTTCTTCTGTTATTACTTATCATAATAATTAATAAATAATACAAGAATAAACTGTGCTTCCTGTACTCACAACTGTAAGCTTACATTTGCTCCATCTTATATGCATACACACATATATGTGTACATGCACACATAAACACATTTTTTTTGGTTCAAATGAATTGTTTTATTTTCATCTTTAACACCAGCAGAGGGGTCCAAAACACACGCACTGTGGTACATGGATGTAGTTTGAATGTAACAAAGAAATATTTGAACTGTGAACAATAAAAAAAAAAGAAATTAATAAAAAATATTTGAACTATGTACATTAAAGAAGGGAAAGGAATTTCTTTTCATATCAAACTTTTCTTATTTTGTGGTTTCTGAATAGTAGACACTAAACGACACTAAACATACTTGCCCTCCAATAACTTTGTATGAAGTAATACAACTTTTATGATCACCCATTTGTCTTTAAGCAAAAAGACATATGTACATATACACACAAACACCTATACACAATTTATTTTTAATTTTACAGAACTCTGTCATGTTTAGGAATTTAATGGTAGTCAGAAAACAAAGACATTTTGGTATTGATATTCAGATCCATAACTCTGCAAACTTTCTCCTTCACTTTGGGACAACAGGCCTTATGCCATTACCTAATGTTTACTTTCTTATAGAAATTCCTTGAAGGCAGATTCTAAAAACAAACACATTCAAAGTGGTGCCTTACTTTAAACAAAGATACTTACCCATTTTTTTTTTTCTTGAAGAAAAACTGGCAACCAAAATTGGTTTTTCCCCTTAGTCAAAAACTGTTCTCAGGATACTGAAGTCCTTTTTTAGCACCTCATGTAGCCTGAGAAACACAGTTTATTTTCCTTTTGGCTTTTGATGGAACAACTGAGTACTTTTAAGGACACAAAAAGAGGACATTAGCATGAACGCAGGATCAGCTGACAAGAAAAAATAACCCTAAAAATGCAAGGTCATAGGAGATGTGTAACACCTCCATTTTGTATTTCATTTCTACAAAATTGTTATTTTTAAATGAGGAAGAAGAAAAGAGCTGAGCTTTTAAAGTGTAATTGTAGTATAGAGTCAGATTTCATTAAACTATGAAGAAAAATTTGAAGTTCTATTTGAAAACATCAGCCTTGTTTTGAGTGTAGATTTGATGTTTGGGTTGTGGGCAGGGTGCAGGGAAGAGAGAATAAAAACTTCCTAGGAGAAGGGGAGCAGATGGAGGGGAAGCCAGCATGAGGAGCAGTGGCTGTATTAAAAAATCACCCAGTGTTGTTTCCTGGAAATCACCATGTCCCCCGAGTGTCTACATTTCAGTCATGGGCCTTCTTACTCTCTCATCTTGTTGAGAAATACAGGGGTGGGCAAAAGTAGGCATATAGTTGTAAGCATGTGAAACAGTTTATTCTTGATTATTATTTATTAACTAGGGGTCCTGTGCACAAAATTCTTGCACTGGGTGTGGGTCCCTCAGCCCAGCCTGTGCCCTCTCACAGTCTGGGACCCCTCGCTCCTTACTGCCCATCTGCTCACTGCTCCTTAACACTCAGCTTGCCACTCTTTAGTGCTTCCCAGGATGGGGGAGAGACTCCCACCACCGCTGTGCTCGCCAGCCATGAGTTTGGCTTCTGGCTGAGTGGTGCTCCCCCTGTGAGAGCTCACTGACCACCAGGGGTCAGCTCCTGCACTGAGCATCTGCTCGTTGATGGTCAGTGCGCATCATAATGATGGTCATTCTGGCCATTCCACCGTAATGGTAGCTTAAGCTTTTATTATGTA